CGACCTTACAAATGGGTGCATAGACGTATGAGTACGTGCGAGATGTAATGGAATATTAAATCACGGGACAAAAATATCCCCGAAGTCAGAGTTTTAGCTGCGGGAGGTATTTTAGCCTCACCAATCGGGCGGCACGCTGAGGCGAAATTATACTTGCACAGCACGCTATGAAAGGATGATATTGCTAGGGGACAATACGCTGAAAGGACATAATACTTGCGCAGCATGCGACGAAGGGATGATATTGCTAAGGGACGACGTGCTTAAAAGGGATGGTCCTTGGACAATGCGTTTTATCTATTCCCATACACTCGGAGACGCTATTCTCGTGTTTGCGATCGACGTGCCGAACTTCCATGTTCCCCCAAAAATGAACATCGAAAATAGCCTCCCTCGTGAATTTTCCATCGTTCGAGTCGAGGGAAAATCATGGAAGACGCGGTTAAGTTCTCCGGACATTTATCGAATTACCCTTGATGCAACGACTGGGACAAATCGTGTTAATCGATCAACTTTTTGGGCCACTCCAAGGCTGGGTTTTCGATTAATATTGTGCCTGCTAAAACCTCAAGATTGAAAGCAAACGAGCCCCGTAAGCTCCGAGCTCCGTGACATCCCCTTAAGTTTCTAACATTAATATTCATAAAATTCGGTAATGGAATTACATAATGAAGATCCCGCTGTAACACTCGGGGCATTACTTGTTATAATAAAGGGGGAACTCGGATCCGGTGGCGACGCCATCAGCTGGTGCTCCCTGTCGTTCGTCGAGGCGTTTTTGTATTTATGAGTGATTAATCGACCCGTTAAAACGGGGACAATTATTGCCAACGTGTGGACGAGGCTTGGAAACGTGAAACGAAGCCACAGGACGTGGCTCGATTCGCCAACTGTGCGGAATCTTCTCCGCTTTGATTATCTGGCTTGCCGATGGATACCCCACGGTGGGAATTTTCCGCATTTGCAAAACCATCCAAAGACGTTATATTTAACCGGTTTCTGCTCCGCCGGAGGGCGAACGAGCACGTCTGGAGGAGATCTAAACCTAAAGCGAGGTGTTTATTGGGCGAGCGATTTACTCGCCATTTAATCGACTTATTTGCCGAGTACTTTCAGGGAGCACCTCCCGCCATGCGAATATAATCTCATCGGGAACATCCTTCCGGAAGAAGCCACCGCTCTGAGGGGAACCTATATTTAATGTTGAGTATCTGCTCACTAGTCCTCGAGACGTTTGAAAATGCAGATTAAGGTGTATACCGCTCCTCCAGAGCCCAGTCAGCTGAATTCTAAGAAGGACACCTTGCGAGACTACTCCTTCCTCGGTAATTCATTCTTTCGACGGTGGCAAGCTTTTTCCGATATTGCACCGAGCATCATTATCGGATCGAATCAATACACTCGACTGACTCGGCGAGATTATTTCTAGAACCGGGACGGCTAATCTAATCCCCGAAATTCGGCGCTGCAATTAGCCCCCGAGCCGAAGTCAAAATACGGAAAGTCTGCAGCGACGTTTCCGTTCCTTCCATACGAAATGCGAGGGTTATATTCGTGCACGTTTCCTTGTACAACCAGATGGTGCTCCAGATTACGCGCGAATTGCCTATTTGTGACAATCTCAATGGCCGGGGATGTTCCGTTCGTAGTCGGTACCGGATTCCCAAAATTTCTGTCGGTGGAACGGCTCCAGAATGGAAAAAAAAATATCTACTCGAAACGTAATGTACCTGCATTTGAAGTTTCAGTTGAAACTCAACGACATTTCGAAGTTGCAGTCGTGCTCGGGTCTTTCGTTTCCGAGTTTGCCAATCAGGCCGTGTATATTAAATTTCGAAATCTTCTGTCAACTGATTTCTAATCACTTAGTATATTTAATAACCTGTGCTTTTCGTTCCTCGAAATATAAGATATACATTAATCTGAATTTCACATCCAGTTCCGCTGTTTTTGGTTTCAGCGTGCATTTGTGGCCAAGGGCCTTCGAAATATCGAAGGATTTTTAACGGCTAAGGAAACGAGGAAAGGCAAAGTACGTGCCTTCCTCAGATATGGAAGAGAAAAAAATAGGGAATACTCAACTGCACGGAATAATTGAGCTTCTTTTACGAGTGGTCGAGGTGTAACACCTCCAGCTGAAGGAGCCCTCGGCGCGCCTCCTTCGCAACCGGGGAAGGAACTTTACGGTTAAGTGAAAAACAAGCTATAAACCTAACCGAATGAGCGAAGCAAAAAGAATCCCCCAGAGCTTCCTACATTCATTTTCTGGGCAAATGCCCGATGTATCTGATCATCAGAAATCTGCATAATGGTCAGTTGGCGTGCCTCGAAATGCGCCGTAGCACCCGGCGCGGTTACGCCATCTTGAAATGCACGCATCGATGGGCAAAAAAGCCTTCGACCGCACAATCGACTCGCACTGGGTAAAAGAGAGCGTCCCACTGCAGAATTAATTCCCATCCTGAACACAGGTAGCTGAAACAAGTGCAACCGATTTAGCAACATATTCGAGAAAATCGTGAAAAGCTATACGATTGAAACGAGGTGCACTCAACCCTCTGAGGGTGTTTACACGTTATTGTTTTATAAAATTCTGCGAAAGTCGATTTACGGAATCAATGATTGACGTCAAAAATTGGCCATGTACTTAATCAACGAATTACCCCGAAAACCCGGAGGACGTGCAAGCTGCGCAACCGCGGCTTAAGAGAGCGGTATCGTTTCTGCGTGCGGTTAACTTAAGAAATCTCAGAAATTATGTATGACCAGGGAAAATGCAAGCACATGAACTCTCGGCTTGATCCATACATATGCAATCTCTAGGTGAAGTACGTGCAAGGTGTTATCGTATAAAAAAGTGGTGCTCAACACTCGTCGGCGCACCTGCGGGTTATGGCTCGAAAGCTCTTGAGGCCACATACACAACTCGGGCTGATTTTCTCCCCGAAGATGTGACCTGTATTAAAAGCAAAGTACACCTTTTCCCTGGAAATGTGAAACCCCCAGTGCCCCGAATACGAGCTCTTATTACTTCAGCCCAAGATCGAATTAAAATGCGGACACAAATTCGACGATGGCCCCTCGGCATGGTCCTTCCCCAAAATATCCCCATCGAACCCCATGCTCGCAGCATCCAAATCAACTGTTCTTCGTGCTACCTCATCTTTCTACCCAGAAATCTGGAGCTGGTCGCTGGTCCAGCGGACTTTGCGAACTCGTTGAATTATCGCACAAAACTTGAGGCGCAATCCGAAAGCAAAACAGTGACAGAAGCGGGGCATGTGAAAATATTTCACATATTTTTGCGGGAAATTAATCCAGAGCACCAGGGCAGGTCAGCGAGCACCATGAGCCGGTGAAAATTCTCTTGACAAACTGCCCTCTCTAGACCGCGGCCAGGAAGGACACGTCCATTTGGAACGTGGGGCAGAACGAACAGCCCCGGAGACCATTCAAATGACCTACCACCGTTTGCAGTACGGCGAAATTCCTCGAGTTCATCCTGAACCTGAAATTACGTCAATTAGTCTAATTGTTCAGATACGGAGTCGTCAGAGTCACAACGGGACTTCCCCGTGAACAGTGATTGAGGTTCGCCTCGATCGTTTGGCAATGAGTACCCTAATCATGCACGTTTGCAAAAACGGGGAAAAAGACATCGGTTTACTTACTCCGGGAGGCCTTTATTTGCAATTTAACTTTCCAGGCGACGACTAACGACTCGGAGCTCTGCTTCCGGGAGGAAGAAAATCCCACGGGACGAAACCAGTAACGATGGAAGCGGCGGTGTTTCTCTGTCCCCGCTGCAGTGGGGAAGGCTGCGAAAAACGATGAAAAATGCTCTTTAGTCCCTAGAAAATCAAGAGCTCCTATTTCTCCGCACCCGCGGCTCTCTCAAGGTCGTTTTTATCCTTTAAGGTTGTTACGTGCACTGAGCATTCCGCTTGAACTCTCAGGTGAGCGCTCAAGTTAGGTCAGTAATATGAAATACGGTGGAAGAAACTCTGACCGCTGTTTCTTATTAACATGACTGATGATTGCTTCGGGGAAACAATGCATTCCGTTCCTCTCGAGCCCTGGATAAGATGCTACTAGACGTCATAAAGATAATAACTAAAATTAATGAAATGTACGTAATAATAAATAGAATAAATAAAATAAACATAATCAACGTAAATTAATTAAACCCCAGTTCTCGGAATTGATTATCGACGGTTTCCAATTGGGGTTGATCGTGTCTTTATCTCCATGAATCTTTAAAGTTATTCGTTGATTTTTACTTGAAATTCCGCTCCAATTTAAGTCGGTCCGGTTTCCGGAATCGCTTCTCTAACGATGTAACTCCGCACGGGAAGCTGCACTCTAAACTCCGAATGTACATCCGACATTATCGAAAGTCCAGACGTATTGGATCGCTCCTACGTTTGGAAACGGAGTTGTGTAATTAATGGCTATGGATAGTAGGATTTCGACGTGGAAGACCCGGACCAGAATTTGTCTTCTGTCTACCTTTAAACAATAGCCAGTCAGTTATCGCGCGGCTACCCTTCAACTTCGCAGGAATATGTTTGTACTGCTAGCCAAACTCTGACAATAACCGCAACACAGCAAACCTTCGCATTCGGGTCTTCTATATCGCACCGAGGTATCTCATAAGTGTTTCGCATAGATATGCGTAAAATGAATTTTATCGATAGTTCTTCATAACTAATTTTCTTTATAAATCAACGTGTTGCAACATTCTAAATTCTTCTAAATTCTGAAGGCTATGCAATTCGAATACTTCCTTCCTTACCGACGTTTGGTACCCCATCTGTGAAGAAATGGTGGAACTTCCGCTGCAAGAATTTTACAGTCGATTATGCAGAATACACATTGTTACTAAAATTTTCCGGATGAGGACTCTATTGACTCTTGATAGCGGAAACTCTTTTTCGAATAACCCAGCGGCTTATCTCTAGTTATCCATATTCGCAGTTTTATTGTGGCTTACCGGGTTTTCGAATGCTCATGTTCTCCACGTAATATGGCATTTGCAGCAAGAAGTCTGCGACTTTTCTGTAAAGCGTACAATGGCAGCAATTGTAAGGCATTTTGTACTTTGCGGGAACCCATAATCAAAGTGAAACATATCCAGGCAACGCAAAAATATCGTTGTTTTGCCGATTGTAAGTACAATTTTCTAGAAACATAACCTTGTTTTCTGATAAACACGCACAGTCGATATCAAATGTTCGCGAAGATTCAGGATTTCTGAGATCAAGGAACTGGTATAGTGTGTAATTCTTGTATAATATTGTTGAACACACGCCAGTATAAAAGTTATATGTATATGTTCCACTTGAAATTTGTAATAATCATTCCTGACGAGACCTCTTTATGAATGATACTTCCAGCAAACAGACCTGGAATAGCTGGGAGCTTAACGAACATACAGTCGACAATTGGTGGTAATCAACCCCATGCACAAAATGTATCGGAAGGGGAAAAACAAAGACAAAAGGAGGAAGAAGAGCGTAAACAACAAGCAGAAAATGAGAAGGACCGAGAGCGCTCGTGGAAAATGATGAAGTATGGTTTTGCATTTTTTGGGGTATCGTTGACCTTCGCTGGTAGTGTTTTAGTCTACGAACTAGGCAGACCAAACCGCGATGAGCATGGAAATGTTATAGAGGATGAGTTTTCTCATTTACCGTTCTTTGAACAACTTTACAAAAGGCTTCGCAGAGAACTTACATATTACAAAAAGGTATTATTCGTTAATTATGAATTTTGACGTTAATTCTACGGAAACGATTAGAATTTAATAAATTATACCAAATTTACATTTCTGATTTGGTATGTAATATTTACATTTTATTCCAGTTTGTGCAAGAACCTAGTAGAGAAAAATTACTTCCTGATCCTCTTAAATATCCATATGTTCAACCTCCGTACACGTTGGTTTTAGAAATGACAGATGTTTTGGTACATCCAGATTGGACGGTAAGATAAATATTCTTTTCTGTGTAATTCTCAATAAACGATCATAAATGACGAACAAACGCTCGTTAAAATGCATGAATAATTTTTTTTCTGTAGTATCAAACTGGTTGGAGGTTTAAGAAAAGGCCAGGGGTTGATCAATTCTTGGAAGCAATTGCGCCGCCACAATTCGAAACTGTTATATATACAGCAGAACAGGGAATGGTATGAAAATTAAATTGTTTAAAGAAAATTATTTATAAGTGCATATTATAAAAATCTGAATTATTACAGACAGCCTTTCCCATACTCGATGCTTTGGATCCTCAAGGATATATTATGTACAGATTAGTTAGAGATGCCACTCGTTTTGCCGATGGACATCACGTTAAGGACTTGAATGCCTTAAACCGAGATCTCAGTAAAGTAAGAACTGCGCTATTTCGCCTCCGACTTCTTCATTATTTCTGTTCATCTAATGTTTTTTATTGTTCAGGTTATTGTAATCGATTGGAATGGAGATAGTGTAAAATTTCACCCAGAAAATACGCTCAAAATTCCTCGATGGACTGGTAACGATGGCGACACGCAATTATATGATTTAGCTGCATTCCTTAAAAGTAAGTTAGACATAGCTTCACAAACAAGTACTAATAAATTAGCACCACTATCACTATTATTTCAAAAATTATTCATTACAATCATTTATCTAAATAAACAATTATTATTTCTTTAGCAATATTGGCAACAAATGTGGAGGATGTCAGAGATGTTTTAAATTACTATCGACAGTTCGATAATCCATTAGAGGCCTTCAGAGAAAACCAACGAAAATTATTGGTATCTATAAAATATATCATCAATGACATATTACTTTTGAACGTCATCTAACTTCAGTTTATTTTTACAGTTACAAATAGAAGAAGAAGGAAGTAAGTTACAAAAAGAAGGAAGCACAGTACTTGGCTCACGATGGAAGCCTTCATTTTTAAAAAATCGTTCATAGAAATGAACGATTAAGTTCACAAATTTGTACATTAAAATATTTGTTACATATTCTTTTACCTTTCACCAAAAATGTGTACTTGAGTTTTGTAATCATTCAAAACATACATGCAACTTTTGCTTAAGAATGGAATAAAATACATTTGTGAATTAGTAATATTCATGAATACAGAAAAACTTATTCCGTGTACTATAATCGCTTAGTCTCAAAGTATAAGCACAATTGGAAAAAATATAAAAAACGTATATGTACATAAATAAAAGTCTATAATCCTACATATACTACAATATAAAGTACTAAAATCCTGACGTATATCTTTTCTTTTTGATATTCTTTTTTACTGGTCTTACATTGCTAGATGGAAACAGACATTCCTGAATATTGGCACTATCTTGAACGCAAGTGACGTCTGTTACCTGTGATACACTAACTAATTCTTGAGTATTGACTTCTGAAAATGTACAATCTATTTCCTCTGGTTGGGAAACAGGAAGCTCCTTTGTATCCGAAGATTCAAGCCAATTTAAAACTTTTTGATAAGGTATGGCTGACAACGGAACAGTAACAGGCTCTTCTGAAATATCCCATGCTGATAGTAGTTCAGGTGCCAATATGTCAACATATGAATTTAACTTTGTTACAGACTGCCTCCATGTTGGTTCATAAATGAACACATTCGGACACTCTTTTCTTTTTAAGTGCAATTTCTTATTATTCAAACCTTAACATAGGAGAAATGAAAAAATGTATCATCTTAATTATTTCATTCTGCTACTTCAAGATCACACTATTTCTGTACTTACTTTCATAAATATAATCGATACATAATTTTGAAGATACAACAAGAGGCAATACAGTATCATTGTATCTTCGGTTTGCCCTCTCCCAAGCTTCCAAAGCCATATATGCATTACAATTTCCTATAGAGAATTTATTTAATACCTCCTCGTGCGTGATACCCTGATAAAATATGTCACCTGAAAATAATCTACATGTAAATTTGTATACATGGGATACATAAAAATAAAAGTATTCTATATATATAAAATATCTCCTTATACTTATTAAATTTACCCTACCAATCGAATTTTGTACAAAGAAGTGTACATCTCCATTACCATCAGGGATTAACAATGAGCCTGCGGTAGACAGTTCAGCTCTGATTCTCATAGACGGATCTAAACATTTTCCTTGTTGCTGACTTGCTGTTAAACTGTCTAAAATACTTGGTGGAGTGTACGGTAAATTGTAAGAATGTGGAGTCTCAGTGTTTTCCCATGTATTCAATATTATTGTGTTTTCTCTAGGTAATTGACTAGATAAAACAATGATTTCTGTTTCGTTTCTGTAAAATAGAGATTTAATAAGTAGATCATTGTTATGCAGTTCAGCAGTTAATTTAGTGCATTTCAAATACCTGTTATAAATGCTGCCAATGAGTGGTGCACTCTTAAACTGATGAGTCCACTTTTGCTGAACGCATGATTTTGGTGACCTGCTATCACAAAGCAATAAACTGTGATATGATCCAATATATTGACATGCATCGAGTCTGCACTGAAGAGTTAGACATAAACTTTCGCATTCTTCCAAATTCGATTTTGGACACAAACTCAAAACAGGACGTTTAAGAGGCATCTATAAAATGAACACAAATTACAAACACTGCAATGAACATGGCAAGATAGACCTGTAAAAAAATCATTGCTGTAAATTGATAATTCTTTTATTTACCCTAGTATCTAAATAATGCAAACAGCATCTGTCCGCATATAAAAGAATATTGGGATCTTGTTCTTGACTTCTAATGCTTCCCCAATTATCCTCCAGAACTTTAGTCTCATCAATCTGTCCACTGTTTATACATTTTCTGTAAAACGTATAAATATAATTAGCCATACTATTGAGAAAATTATTTCAATGCTCAATGTCCTTCGAAATAATATATGCAACTGTACTAGATAACCGTGCCATAAATTATTTATACTAATTCTTTTGGGTCCTAAGAGCTATAGGCACGGGTACCCGGCTGATTATGTTTCTTTTGACTGGTACAAATGGTGGCGGCTAAATCCTAGCCCATAAACCTTAACGGTAGTAAAGCCTTGCCAGGCTTTGTAAAGAAAAGGTAATACAATTCACAGTAATCATATATTTTGCCAGCTATAAATTGTACCACCTTAAATCACATAAATGACCCTTATTTTCTACTTACTCTTTGAGTAAATCCCACAAAGTCACTATTCTATCCGTATTAGCAGTATAAAAGGTATTGACTTTTAGAAGATTCAAATCTGCACTGACATAAGGACTATGTGATTTTTGTTTGTGTATTTCCATGAGTTTTAATCTGTTTTTAGATTCAGCCAAGGAATATAATACACAATGATGTTTGTATCTTCCCAAAAGTTGACCTATAAGTGCTTTCATTATATTAAAAATTTCTACTCAACAATTAGTAAAACCTTCGTACTCACATGTATTGTTGCTGGAACTACATTTTAATTCATAAAGGGTTCCATTGGTGATACATTTAGCTCCAATCTTGAGTTCAGGTTTCCACAAGGAAACATCGTTAGCAACAATTGGAACAGCCGCTAAGTATACCCACATCATTGTATAAATAAAACAAGATACATTTATCATTACTGTTAAAATTTAAATTTTGTTATTAACGTAAGATATGATTTTAATTACCTAATTCTCCATTGTAAGGAAATAATAAAATCCTTTTGCCATTTAATAAAACATTGCACAACGACCCTCCAGTATAGTACCAGTTATATTTCTGTTTTGAAAAAACATTGTAAACAAATACTTTAATAATTGAACAGAATGTAATGCATTAAATTGTAAAGTACGACGTGTACATGCATGTATTAGCATACCCCTTTAAACGTAGGATCAGGGTCCAGTTCAATGATCTCGGATATATCTGCTACATATCTAGGAATTTTAGTATACATTAAACCATCATTTTTCTTCCACAGAATATCTTTTTTCTGGCATGGTTCAAGTTCTAAAATGCAAATTAAATACTAATGTTAAATATTTTTTTCAAAGGACCAATGAAAATAGTCACCTTTCTTATGTTTTTCATAGTACTCTGTAATCCTATTTATATCATTCATCATTTGTGCTTTGGTTAACATCAGCTGCAAAGCTGGATCTTCTCCGCACAAAACTAAAAAAAAAAAAAGAAATGAATAAATAATTAGCTTGTATAATTTCAGATACAATCATAACGATTTTAAAATTATTATCATTCATTCGATTATCAAAAATCCATGTGACCAATAGTAATTGAGATTATAAATAATAACATTTACCTGATCGTGGTAATCTAACAGGTGGCAATAAAGGCTTCGGTAAGTCAGAGTGATACGGGAATTCTTGATGTAAAATATCATCGTTAATACTATTAGTGTCATCTTGATAAATATTATTCAAATTATGCGCAGGTACGGAATGATGAGGATAACACTTTAAAAAGTTGGTCTTCAATTTTCCATGCAAATTAAGCTCAGTTCGCTTAACAGTTTTTATCAAACTATCAATTTGTTTATCAGCCATTATACATAGATGACAGTTACAAAATCATGGGATATCTGAAAAAATTAAAAGGTAACAGTACATTAATGAATGACAGCATATCTTTAGTCAATCTCAGATTACAAATAATTAAAATACCTACCAACAACTACATCCAAAGAACCTTAACCTAGCAATGTGTCAGTGCCGCCAACCACTGGTAGAGTACAAACAACGAGAATAACGAGATCTTGCTATGGACATAAGCATCCAACTGTTTCCAATTGTTTTTGTCGTTGTATTTACCACGATTAGAAAATTTTAGAACAAACTTTTCTTTGGTTCCAACTTTCCCTCCAATTTTTAAAATTACTATCAGAGATGAGTTGGGAGATTGCTTACGGGCAGGATCGCGCGATCGCATTCTGTGCTGCCCTCTGGTTTCGTACGTTAGCTTTCACCGTTTTTTGCCCCCAAGGGCGGCGCAACGAATTTCTGATAGGAGTTCGCGCACTCGCGCTGGCGGTACCATCTACCAGTCGCCGTTGGCGGCTCGCGTATTCGTGATGGTAATACCATGCGGCAGTTGACGGTGGTGGCTTACCTACGCTTATCGACACTGCACGCTTTTGATGGTAAGGGAAGAACATTCGTGACGCTCCATTTGACTTTATCTACTTATCTACTACTATTAAGTACATTGTTGCCTCGAAGTCGACGTTATACGGAGCTTTGGGGCACGCGTCGGTGTCGCGTACGGAACTCTCATGCAGCGAATCTGTGTGAGTGCGATCGCTCCTAGAAATCTTCGCGCGTCCCAACCGGCCAAGCGCCAAGCTACGGGTCGAGACGTTGAGTATGTGTGCGTTCGGCACTACACTCGACGAGTATGCGTGAGAGTCGAATACTGCGAAAAATTCTCCCGAGGCTTACCTAACTGCGGATACAAGCCGAGTCATTTCGCGTATGATTTTTACATTTTCCTACTAGCGTTATCGAGCGTTTTTCGATCATTTTCAGAGCGTCTTCGAGCATTTTCACGCATTTTCAGAGCGTTTCCAAGTGTTATCGAGTGATATTCAAGTGTTTTCGATCGTTATTGAGCTTTTTTCGAGCATAAACGAACGTTTTCAAGCGTTATCCAGCGATTTTCGAGCGTTTTCATGTGTTATCGAGCGTTTTTCGACCGTTTTTTAACGTTTTCGGGTGATTCTCGATAATTTTCAGAGCGGTTTCGAGCGTTTTTAAGCGTTTTCGAGCGTTTTCGAGCGTTTTTGAACGTTTTCGAGCATTGCTCGATCATTTTCAGAGCGGTTTCGAGCATTTTCACACATTTTCAGAGCGTTTTCAAGCGTTATCGAGTGATATTCAAGTGTTTTCGATAGTTATCGAGCTTCTTTCGAGCATTATCGACAGTTTTCAAGCGTTTTCAAACTTTATCGAGCGTTTTTCGACCGTTTTCGAACGTTTTCGAGCGTTATCGAGCGATTTTAGAGCGTTTTCAAGCGTTTTCGAGCGTTATCGAGCGTTTTTCGACCGTTTTCGAACGGTTTCGAGCCTTTCTCGATCATTTTCAGAGCAGTTTCGAGCGTTTTCAAGCGTTATCGAGCGTTTTTCGAGCGTTTTTGAACGTTTTCGAGCATTCCTCGATCATTTTCAGAGCGGTTTCAAGCACGCAATGAGTGCTTCCACTTTTAACAAAGTTAAGCTACTGTCATACAAAAAAAAAACACGCTAAGTGGAACCACTCGCGCAGCTATTTGCGAACCGGTGGTTTCGAACAATAGTTGGAAACCACCGATCCCCCAGGCTCACCACGTGGAGGTTGCTGCGCACCGAAGCCCTTTACAAACGTAATAAATTAAGTTAAATATATTAATAGAGGGAAGGGAAGGGAGGGGGGATGTCTCCCATAAGGCCCGGTTTCACAACCCAAGTTAACCGAAGTTTGATTTTTAACCGTTAGGTGAAACCGTAGGTTAAAACTGGGGTTAACCGTTAGGTTTAACTGTAGGTTAAAACTGGGGTTAAACCAGTTAAACTTCAGTTAACTCGAGGGTGGAACCGAACCTCATTAGTGCTCCACATACATACAGGTGTGAGTATGTGTGTGACAGCAACGTTAGAAGCACGTAACCCGATGTTTACCCTGCGGAAGACCAAAGGGTAATGATGCTCCGAGCGCGCGCTCGGCCTTATATAGGGTCCTCGACCCCGGCATGCGCATGGTAGGTAAGCCACCACCATCAACACTCGCATGGTATTACGATCACGGGTACGGCTGCTGGTAGATGACACCACCATCGCGAGTGCGCTAGCCCCTACCAGAAATTCGTTGCGCCGCCCTTGGAGGCAAAAAACGGTGAAAGCTAACGTACGAAACCAGAGGGCAGCACAGGATGCGATCGCGCGACCCTGCCCGTGAGCCATCTCCCAACTCATCTCTGGTTACTATCATTGAGTGAGCAGAAATTCGAAACAAAGATTTGACAGTTGGCGCAACTGACAATCTTGTATTGTCTCTCAAGGGATACTTAAAGTTGGGTTCGTTATCCTACAGATGTAATTTTGCGTCTAGAATTTCACACTCACGAAGGTGAAGAGGAAATTGTGAGAATTAGCGGAGGTGCCAGAGAAAATGCCTTATACAAGCGAACTTTCGCAATCTCGGGAATATCAGAGTTTCCGAAGTTCAGTTCCTCTCAGAAAAATCGTCATTGACATTGACAGCTCAAAGGTGATAAAAAAAAAACAGTCAAAACAAAAGAAACGACATTTAATATCTAATACTATGTAATGGAAATTTCTTATTAATTTAGTATTCAGGAATATCATGAATTTGCATGTGAGCTTATTTTACATTTTTCGTTCCATAAAAATTATACTCGGTGATGTTATCACAACAGAATGCTGTAATTATAATATTTATTAAATCTTAATACCATTAGAATCATATTAATTCAACCACACAGCAACAATGATCGTGTTAAATATGTCTCGTAATGAAGTACGAACTTCATCGCATTGAAGATACTGTGGAATGCGTTTTGTGTGGTATAACGAAGAAATCATTAAAACTTCATTTTCGGTGTTTTTAGGGCTGGAAAGTATATGACTCTGGTCCAAAGACGATCAAGTGTCCCGTGATTTGTCTTCCACCTGTCAGTGGTTCAGCAGACATTTTTTTTAAGCAGATTCTTGGGTTGGCCGCTAAGGGTTATCGAGTTATATCGGTAGGTGAAGTTTCTTACGATTATTTCATAAGTATAAGTGCATATCAAGTAAATGGTACACATTGGACAGTTAATAAAATGCGCACTGGAAGTAAAAGTGACATTAATATTTATACATCACAAAAATTATTATATATTATAATTAAGCGATCAGGGTACATTTCAAATGTAAGCAATTTTGTGAATTTTATTTTATTTCCAATGACAACTAATTCGTATTTATACTATAAGCTTATTGAAAAAAAATATCAGAAATGTAGATTGCATTATAGCACAAAAATGTACGATAAGAAAAAAGTTTAATTTTCTGTAGGCAGAGGCACCTGTATACTGGAGTGTAAAAGAATGGTGCGATGGATTTAAAAAACTTTTAGATTACATGGAGCTGGACCGAGTACATCTTTTTGGTGCTTCTTTAGGTCTGACATTAAATTTTGTAGTCTGTATACACGATTGCTTAACAATAATGTGTGCATGTCCATTCCAAACATTTATTAAGAGAACCCTTTATATTTATTATTTCTCTTTTCTCCAATTGTAGGGACAATAGTCTAATTGCGTTTTACTCATTTAATTATAATCCAAAAAAATTAACATTCGTATGTATTTTAGGAGGATTCCTTGCCCAAAAGTTCGTTGAACTAAATTTCCATTGTCCTAGAGTTACATCACTGGTTCTGTGTAATACTTTTACAGACACATCCGTGTTCAATTTTAATGAATCTGCAGCCTTGTAAGTGACATCATTTTCATAATAAATTCTTATAAATATTCTCGTGAGTTTATATTTTGTTCAACATTAATTGTAGTTATTCTGATTCCTAGATTTTGGATATTGCCATCATTGGTTTTGAAAAAGATGGTAATGGGCAATTTTCTGACACAAAAAGTCGATGGAGAAATTGTAGATGCAATAGACTTCATGGTAGAAAGGGTAAGTGTTCCATTTTCATCATGTGTAATATCATCTATGAAGAATGTTCTAATCTCCATGTATGTCAAATAAGAAAAAGATGAAGATTTTCAATTTTAGTTAGAAAGCTTGACACAATCTGAGTTGGCCTCCAGACTTACAATGAATTGCATAAACTGTTACGTACAGCCGCACAAAGTATCTCATTTACCAATTACGATAGTGGATGTATTCGATGATTATGCTTTATCAAGTGTAGTTAGAGAAGAGATGTACAAATGTTACCCCAATGCCAAATTAGCACATCTGAAAAGTGGCGGTAATTTCCCTTACTTGAGTCGTTCACCTGAAGTCAATTTACATTTACAGGTATGAACATTTAAGTAACATTATCTAAAGGAGGAATAAAATACCTTCTATAAATTTGAAACTAACTCGTTAATTCATTTTTACTTTATACTTTATAGATCCATTTGAGGCAGTTCGAAGGAACAGAGTATTCTGTATCAGAAAGAAATAAGAGTTAATAAGATCGTGATTCGAGGCAATATAATAATTAGAACGGCTCGATCCGAATTTGATAGTGCTTTAATGTGCACACGTCAGTTTCCTGTTTTCATTTGCTATAGCTCATATTTGTCAAATTACCGTGCATTTGAACCAATTAATATAAATAATATTTATCTTAATACATACTTGCATTTAAGCATACCAGCGACTATAATGATCAATAATGCTTTCGATCATACAAACTCGTCAAATATTTAGAATTTCTTAAAGAAACAGTTCCTACGAAGCACACGCTTAATAATTTCCCCTGAATTAGGAACAGTTGATATTAGTTGAGATGCGCAATGACATTGTTACTCAAGATTGAATACATTGTATTATAAGATCATTTCACTTGTAAAATGTACATGGGCTGTAATTGTTATTTATTATAAGTAGTTATATACGTAATTTAATGTTACACATTGCCCATAAACTTAATTATGTAAATTAAGAGCTGTTAAATTATGCAATTCCATACTTGATACGATTTGAGGGGTGTTCTCTTTTTTATATATATTGCATTCCCTATACAATTTGTACTTTCATATAAATGCTATAGGACTGCCACTAAAATGCCCCTACTCAGTTCGTATCATCGGTGAGAAGTACACTTTTGTATGAACATTACCAATGTCTAATCATAATTATGTACGGTGAATTATGGCTAACAGCTGCTCGCTGCAATCAAGTTAAATTACTTTTACATGTTTTAGAATGTATACCTCGTCATCCTGTAAATACGGGCTTTGTTATTTGGATCGCGTTGTAAAAAATATAATTTTTTAATGAAATAGCTCTTATTGCAATTTTTCCGCTCCTACGACAACCTATGCTTTCTTCAGAATATATTTTCATAGATAAGCACTTTATTTTAAAAAATCGATTAAAGACGTATAACAAGTAATTAGTACTACATCCATCCGATGTATCTAGATAATTCTAAGTCGCGCAGTTCGTTTCAAGGACCTAATAACTCATTAATCGATATTACATAACGTTACCAAAAACGCATTTCTTTTTATTTCCCTTTTCCCCTCGTGATTTGTTACGCGTTTCGGCTTCGATCCGATACGAAGGATCGATCGATCATCTAGATAATGCCAAGCCGCATGCCTTCGCGTTCACAGCCCATTAAGAGCGATGCCCTGACCTCTTCAAGTGCAATAATTCAATTACTGCTCGTTACCGAGAAAAATCGATGTTTTATCGAATCACGGCAATTAACCCCCGAGTCATGCGTCTGACGTTTGTCCCTTAACATGTCATGGGACAATCTAGAGTCTCGATGCTCTCGATTTTCAAAGGTCAATCCCCTACCTCATATTCGCACGCTCAAAATATCGTAACAAAGATCATCACCGAGCATTAAAAAATCGACCTAGGCTCTCTTACCACAACTTGGTGAAAAAATAAACCCCTACTTCATTCCCGGCGCTATATTGAATAATCCCTCAAAGTCAATCTCAACATTTAAGACATCTAAGGTATTTAAGATACGCAGCCAAGCAAACGTATGCGTTCGGCGTCCCCCCTGTTCGGTGTTTACGCCAGTGAATAATCGTCATGCGCGCTAAAAGGGCAGGGAATGTGCCAATGACAAGAGCCGCCCCCCCGCAGAAGACGAGAACCCCGAGCCCCGGGAGGGCGAGTTAGGAAAGGGCATAAAATGTGGAAAACAGGTAGGTAGGAGGTCGGGGAAGGGGGCAAGCGGCCGAGCGCCTCGATTGGGTGTGGCGCGCGGCGCGGCGGAGGCGGAGGCGTAGATAAGTGAGCACTCGGCTGGCGGCGCGCGCGGCTCGCCCAGAGAGGAAGGAACTCGAATGAGCAGCGCGCCCGCGGAGTGGGGGTAGCGGACCGAGGTCGATGCCATGGAGGGGGAATGCGGGCCGAGAGGTTAGGTCGGCGCGGCGCGGCGCGGCGCTCACATGCCATTGATTTTAAAAACTCTGTAGTTCCGCGGACTGTCAGCTCGGTCGACGAGGCTCTCGGCGCGCCAGTCTTCGCCGGCGGGACCCGCGTTTACGTAATGTGACGCGCACCGCGGCCGAGAAAAATAACGAACAAGCCGAGTGAACGAATACACGGGATACGCGAAACGGCTGCGGCGACGCCGGCCGCGCCGCCGGTGACCGAACTCGCAACGGGACGCCGCGACTTCGCGACCACGCGGCGGACGCTCGGAGAAGGTCGCGCCGATTTCGCCGGCCGTAAAATCGCAACGCCGCGCCGGAGGTGCGGATTTCGCGCGCGACCGGCGCGCGCTCTGACGCCGGCTCCCGCCAAGTGACTGCGCGATCCGCGGCCGGCCCGGAACCTCTAGGTAAGTGATCCGCGCTCCTTTGCTCCCGGCTGGACTTGTGAATGGAAGACGCTGCCGGCGAGTCGGAAACGCTCTCGCGAGCGTCGCCGTCAGTGCGCGGGCCGAGCGCCGTACGCGCACGCACACGTACTTACAAACGCGTACTATTATTGCGTAGCATGCCCGAACCGCCTCGTCAACGGCAGCCAATCGGAGGTCGCACTAAAAAATGGCGCAACTTTTCAATCAACCACGACCAGGTGCGGAACAAACGCGTGGGAAAGTGCGAGGAAAAGTTGCCGTATCTCGCGGTTGACGTGTTTTCGATTTCTATTAACGCCGGGAAATGACTCGGAAGGAGAATAATGGAAAAGAATCGCTGTAAATTGCTATTCTTGTCGATTTGCGAGAATCGGAATTTCCCGGCACGCGCAGGTTGCCGATGCGAGCCGAGGTTCATTGAATACAGCTTGCGACTAATAACGCCTGATTGCCCTCGATGGCGCTCGATGGCGCCTAATTGCGCCCCGTGGCGCCGATGACGACGGTGGACACGTGGAGGCGCATGCTTCTCTTTACTTATTTCGAGGACCTTTTGGAATAACTGCGCGCTAGGGCACGTGACGGGAATCGCAAAGAGCGCATCGCAGTTGATCGCGACACCCGCGCGTCTCGCGGCGTGACGTCAGCCGTGCCGGTAACGCCACCTGCGCCGTTCCAAAAAGGAATCCACGGAGTAAATGGCAATAAACACGGCTCGCTCGAACCGGCCCCCGGAGCAATACCTCTGGTTTTATGTGTTTATAGTTGTGTCAGAGAGTCATAAGGACTATAAAGCAAACCACCTTATGAGGAAGCGAAATAATATGTATTTATAAACATACGGGGCGAGAGGTGGAGCCATTCAGGCTGGAGTAACACGCGGCGCTCGATCTCGGCTCGCCTTTGCCCTGGTGCATTAAGGAGAGCTCAAATAAATATTATGTGTGTAATAACTGTAATTCCACTTCTTACGACCCTACTTAAACGGGGTTACGAGGATCCTTGTATCATTCACTCGAGGCGTTTGAATGTTCGCGCACCGCAAGCGTAGGGCCGGTCTCGACCTGCAGGCGGCGCCATGAGCGCGTGTTGTGATTCCGATCTCTGACTCGTGCATGTTATTTTTTTCGCGACGCCACATCCAGGTGCGTTCACGTCGGTCGTTCCTCGTCCCTTCCGTTCCCTTTCCCGAGGTGCGTATCGCCCTTCGTTCGATTCCGTGGGTCATGGTCGAGAGTTTTATTCCCTCTTTCAAGAAGCCGATCCTCGAGGCCCCGCCGGCGCGGAGGAATCCGTCGCGGCCATAGCCCGGACGGAAAAGTGGAACCGCGTGGAACTCTCGCGCCCGGGAGCCGGCGGAGTGGCCGGCGTCCGTCGGCCTCCGCGCGTCTCTTAGTTTCGGCTCGACGCGGCGCGGCGCGTCGCTCGCGCCTCTCCGGCTCACCTCGGCTGGGCTCGTGGCCTCTCGGCTCGCAGACGCTTCTTCGTAGGTGAAGATACACGGCCGCGCCGCCCGGACCGACGACAGGCCATCGAGCGAGAAGAAAGAAGACGCGAGGCCCCCGCCCGCGCGTCCTGGCCTGCCGTGGAACCGCTGACTACCCGCGGAGTCACTCACGGGACGAGCGATCGGTTTTTGTTATTGCCATTTACCTCTCTCGCGGTAACTCGGCCAACACTCGTCGTACGTATCTGCGCGACAGTTGTTTTTCATTTGTTTACGAATCCGAGGCGAGCGCCCGCGCGAGCGGTACCTCTGACGGGAATGCGTCTCGGGCGGACGGACGCCGCCGTCCCTTGGGACTGAACGGGTTCGACGTAGCGTATCGTCCCCGGGTTTTTCTCTCGAGGTCGTCGAAATCAAAACAAGGCTTCGTGCCACTGAGCTCGAAGGGGTGGGGATGGATCTGGATTTAAATGTTAAGAAATGAGGCGTTTGAATACATTGGGCACGAGTGCGTTACGAGTTGAATGCTGGTCGCCGTGAAAGTTCCCACTCGCGTGAACAAGTATTTACCTGCTTTTATTTGTTGTGATATAGAATACCATTTTAGTATGGAAGCACTTTTTGTGCTCGTCGAGCTTGTCAATTAACGTGGAACGTCCGTTTTAACATATTCTGTTCGGTTGGTTATGGCTCTTGTCATTTGTGTACATGAAATTTTTATCTGTATTTTGAGGTTTCAAACAACAATGTTTTTAAGGCAATCCGGAGTGAATGCGTGGAAAGTTATTCCTCAATTTTGTAGCCAGATGATTCAAATTCGGTGTGTTTTATCGTCGCACTTGATTTTAATGATTATTAAATTTGTTCAGCTTTAGGTTATTTATATATATAATTAATGTTTTAACATCTTTATTTTATTTACAGGAGATACCAGATTTCAACGCCGATGAAACAAATTAAATGCAAGGGAGACAAATTGCGGTCGTCACAATATAAGTGTCGCAGAAAGTCCTGTACAAATTATTCTCGGTCGTTGATCTAACAATGTTATGACGGCGATGAATATGAATTCACCAACCATGTGCGACATTGTTGTGTCAAAAGTAAAGCTTGGCTGACGTTTTGGTTCCTAAAGTGAGATGGTTGTATCGACGAAGAAAACCATTTCAAAGAATTCCTAGATCAACGCCGTTGTTTATGTGAAGTAATTACACATGTTTCCGATAAAGGAAGAAGCAGAAGGATAAAATATATTTATGTTGACAGTGACAGACATTTTGTTCAGATAAAATAATAAGTACAAGATGCATACTTATGCAGATTTGCACGGATAAGGTGAAAAGTCAAATTAAATAAAATCCTATCTGATGCACGAAAAACTTGCTTTGAAGAAGAACGTTTGAATTCAAAAAGTCATACGGAACAATAACGTAGACCTGCCTGGTCTTTGAACATTTTGGATCCTACTGTGCATAATGTCTCAAGTCTGATGTTAAGTAATCTTATCAAAGCAAATTGCTGCTCTGAAAGATCTTGTTGATACTCTTGTAATGCTTGAGGTTGGTGCCCTTTTTAACCTCAAATGTGTACTTCAAATATTGATATCCATTTAAATCATCAGCAGTGCCATTAGAACGTTTTTGCATAAATTGGTACTTGCGTGTCCGGATCAGTGATGGTCTCAATTTCACAAGCTTTGAAATGACCCTGATGAAAGGCCTCTGTGTCGACGCCCTTTTTGGCACTGCTAAGCTTCCATTTTACGGTCTCAATAGCTGCACACAGAGCACTCCTGGAATGGCTAATATGTCTCATCATGCTAAAGAAAGTTAAAGTGCTTTCAGCAAAACGCTTTTACAAAATTTATCTATAAACATATTGAGAATGAAGCCGTGTGAATCAATCGGCAGCCCTGTGGCTGTTAACTGGGACGCTTGTTCGGCACCCAATTATGACACTCCTATAAAACCAGCTGATGACGGTGAAAATTACAGCTGCAGTAATTGTCTGGCACTGCAAGTCAAAGTCACAGAAGACTTTGTGGACTCTGAATTTTTACAGTGTGACATTTGCAAGAGATTGCGGAACTCAGCGGAAAACCATGAGGAGGGATGCAACGAGGTCAGTTATAGGCAGGGTTATCTTCAAAGACTTTTCCCTGCTTTTAGCAGTGGTAAAATTGGCTCAACTTGCCGAAGAGACAGTGTCGACGAAGGTCGCTGGTTAAGGTGTGCTTCCAGTGTGGTGCGATGGACTCAAGGGAAAAGAAGGATGCCATGGCAAATATTGATTTGGCTCACAGCTATGGTGCTGCTGACTTTAGCTGCACCTTGTGTCATCGCGGATTCTCAAAACTCCATCCTTGCAAACACTTCGGTGGCAAACACTTTTAACAAAACTGGCAAGTATTTACGAACAATTGCGGATCCTCCTTTCTCTATTTAACGTATAGAACAGTACTTCACGTTGATTTACCTTTACAGTGTGCCAAAGCGTAGACATAAGAAATAACGTGAATCAATTCTCAAGACTGGATGGTTGCAGAGTCGTCGAAGGGTTTGTGCAGATCCTGCTTATCGATAATGCAGACGATCAGTCCTATGCGAATCTTACGTTCCCTAACCTTGTTGAAATTACTGGATATCTTATCCTGTACAGGTACATAATTTTATTGAAATAAATTTCTGTCGAAACTGTCAGTTATTCTCAGACAGATTATAACTCTTGTCTTCTCCTTTCAGAGTATATGGTCTACAAAGCATCGGTCATTTGTTTCCTAATCTGGCAGTGATCCGTGGTCACTCACTATTTTTCAATTATGCTCTAGTAGTCTTTGAGATGATGCATTTGCAGGAAATTGGTCTCTACTCTTTGACAGATATTTTACGTGGTTCCGTGCGCTTCGAAAAGAATCCAGTTCTCTGTAATGCCGATACAATCGATTGGGACATCATCGCCAAGGCTGGCAAAGGAGAACATGTCATTTCGGTGAGTTACTTCCACCAAGATTTGTCGAAGTTTTAAGAATTTTTAAAACTATTACTTAACGTTGTAGAAATGTCATTTTAATTCAAGTTCAGCCCAGCTGGTTGGTGTTAATTTTGTTTCGTTAATCTTTGCAGTCTAACAAACCGAAAAATGTATGTCCCGTCTGTGAGAAACACTGCCCTACGAGACTGACGAAGCCCGACGAAACTCTTTGTTGGAACAGGCAACACTGCCAGCGACGTAAGCAAAAAATGTTCAGATATATTCCTTAAAGATGTTAGAACGTGTCCATTACATAATCTTTCTCTTTTCCAGTTTGCGACAGAAAGTGTGGTGATAAAGTGTGTAGCAAAACAAACGAGTGCTGTCACCCTTCCTGCATAGGTGGATGCACGGGGAAGGACTCGAATAGCTGCATAGCCTGTAGAGAATTGGTCTTACCGAGTAACGTGTGCGTACCCCAATGTCCAAGTGGCACCTACGAGTACTTGAACAGACGTTGCGTTCAAGCGGACGAGTGCCGGCGTATGAAGAGACCGCGCGAGGCATCTATGGTAAAAGAATTCCCGTACAAACCGTTCAACAACACCTGCGTGATGGAGTGCCCGGCAGGTTACATGGACGATGGCGTCGACGCTAGAGCCTCCTGCAAGAAGTGCGACGGACCTTGTTTGAAGAAATGCGCGGGCACGAGTGTGGACAGCATCGCGTCCGCGCAAAGGTTGCGTGGCTGCACGCATATCGTTGGCAGCCTGGAAATACAAATCCGTGGTGGCAAGAACATCGTTAAAGAGCTGGAGGACAGCTTAAGTATGATAGAAGAGATCGATGGCTACCTCAAGATCGTCCGGTGTTTCCCGTTGATATCCCTGAATTTCCTCAAGAACCTCAAAATCATTCGCGGTAACTCACTGGACAATTCGAAGTACACCCTAGCTGTGCTGGACAACCAGAATCTTCAAGAGCTCTGGGATTGGGACTCTAGTAAGAAGATCAAGATCCTGTCCAAGGACGGCCCTGCCAAGATCTTCTTCCACTTCAACCCGAAGCTTTGCCTGAAGAAGATCGAGAAATTGAGGGAGGTGGCCGGTCTCCAAGAGTTCACTGATCTGGACGTGGCACCCAACAGCAACGGAGATAAAGTTGCCTGCGACGTTACGGAGCTCGTCACTCGAATCACCAGAATCAACACAGCGGCTGCGCTGATAGAGTGGGACGCGTTCGAGCACCACGACCCCAGGTCCTTGTTGGGGTACGTGGTGTACGTTATCGAGGCTCCTACTCAGAACGTTACCATGTACGATGGGCGAGATGCTTGTGGAGGCGATGGGTGGAGGGTCGACGACGTGTCCTCTTCTTCGACCTCGACGAGCAACCAGTCGGTAATCAATAATGCGAACAAAACCACCATTGAGACAAAGTCCATCGTTACGCATATCCTCACCTTGCTGAATCCGTACACGCAATACGCGTTCTATGTGAAGACCTATACGATTGCCACCGAGAGATCCGGGGCGCTGAGCAAAGTCAAGTATTTCACGACTTTGCCCGGCACACCCAGCGCCCCTAGAGCGCTCTCTACCTGGAGTAACTCCAGCAGCGAACTCGTTATGTCCTGGTCCCCACCTTTGCATAAAAATGGAAATCTCACCCACTATAGAATCGTTGGTAGGTGGGAGAAAGATGATTCCAATTTCTTGGAGCAAAGGGACTACTGCAATGAGCGTATGTTTTTTCTATTCTTTTTTTTTTACACTTTTTTGTGAATGATTCGTGCAATTTTATCATTTTTATTGCAGCTATGCTACTACCTGAGAAGAAACCCATGTCCGTCATGGTGGAGGAGGAGCGAAAGAAGGCAGAGGCCGAAAAGGAGCTGATCAAGATACCGGAAACAGCTACCTGCGAATGTAGCGATAGTAAATCTGATCCCCTGATTAGAGAAAAGGAGGTATCCAGCTCGATCGCTTTTGAAGACGCTCTGCACAATCAGGTGTACGTTAAACGTATCAGCTCTCGAAGGAGACGCGACACGCGAGAATCGAGGGCTCTTAATGCTGTTACCCATGAGAGCAACGCTCATGTTAATTCACAGGTGAGTCTATTTCTATTAAGATAGTAGACTCAAATACTTGGAATGCACCGGTGACTTAAAAGGGCTGGCTTCATTACTTAAATCTTATCCATTGTAAATAATATTTTACAGGACAAGAAAAATGGGATGGACGTGATCAAGAATGGTAGCTACGTGATCTTTGAGAGAAATGTTTCCAGCTCTAGTTTCACTTTCGTCATGAAGGAGTTGCGACATTTTGCGGCGTACAACATCGAGGTCCTGGCGTGCCGAGAAAGAATTCCCGATGATGCCCAAGACAAGCCTTGTTCTACCAAGAGCATGAGAACTTACAGGACGTTGCCTTTAGAGAGCGCCGATGACATCCCACCAGAGTCTTTCCAAATGAACCTTCTGGGCGGAAACAATAGCCTCACCACCGTTAAGCTGCAATGGAAGGAGCCACCGCAACCGAACGGACTAATTGTAGCATACCAAATAGAGTACAAAAGAGTGGATATAAAAAATGTAAGAGGCTTGTTGATTATTTATGATGGAATAGAAGTAATCATATTCTTACATTTAATTACTTCTCTACAGATCAAGGGAACGGTGGTCTGCATAACTAGGCGTGACTTCGTCACCTCCGAAAATACGTATCTTCTGAAAGACCTATCACCCGGCAATTATTCCGTCAAAGTCAGAGCCACGAGTCTAGCAGGAAATGGAGCGTACACGAACGTTAGGTACTTCTACATAGAAGAGTACAACACCACCGGGAAGTTTTGGATTATGTTTTGGTCCATTGGCTTCATCGTCATCGTCATACTCCCATTAATCGTATTCTACGTATATAAACGCAAATTGATGCGCAACGTACCCAGCATGCGACTGATCGCGACCGTAAATCCGGAGTATGTCAGCACGGCTTACGTCCCGGATGAATGGGAAGTTCCTCGAAAGAAGATCCAGTTATTACGCGAACTAGGGAACGGCTCGTTCGGAATGGTTTACGAAGGAATTGCCAAAGATGTGGTCAAGGGTAAACCGGAGGTTCGGTGTGCGGTCAAGACTGTAAACGAAAATGCTACGGATCGTGAGCGTATAGAATTCCTAAATGAAGCGTCCGTCATGAAGTAAGTATTGCTGCATGTTAAGATAGACAAAAATTCCTACTTGTTCACATAAGCTTTAGGACGTATCTTTTATTTGTAGGATCTTTTGCATTGTAATTTAACATTAATCACCTTGTCCATCCAATCAGGGCTTTCAACACCCATCATGTAGTCCGATTATTAGGCGTGGTGTCCCAAGGTCAACCAACGCTGGTCGTTATGGAGTTAATGGTGAACGGCGATTTGAAGACCTACCTGCGGAGCCATCGTCCCGATGTATGCGAGAACATTTTGCGACAACCACCTACGCTGAAGCGAATTCTTCAGATGGCAATCGAAATCGCCGATGGCATGGCTTATTTGGCAGCGAAGAAATTCGTTCACAGAGACCTGGCCGCTCGTAATTGCATGGTGGCCGAGGACTTGACGGTGAAAATTGGCGATTTCGGAATGACGCGAGACATCTACGAGACGGATTATTATCGAAAAGGTACAAAGGGCCTCCTGCCCGTCAGATGGATGGCCCCTGAGAGTCTGAAGGATGGATTGTTCACAAGTTACTCCGATGTCTGGAGTTACGGAGTCGTCCTTTGGGAAATGGTCACCCTGGCCTCGCAGCCGTATCAAGGCTTGTCGAATGACCAGGTGAGATAAGGACGACTTTGGAGCGATAATACATCCTTGAAAGGTTTCTCTCAAATTTATCGTAAATAACATCCTACGTTTTATTAGGTACTGCGATATGTAATCGATGGTGGCGTAATGGAGCGGCCGGAGAATTGTCCCGATTCCCTTTACACGTTGATGCGTCGCACCTGGAATCATAAAGCCTCGAAGCGACCCACCTTCATCGACATCGCTACTATGCTTTTGCAGGAAATCAACGTCGCTCCTTTTGAAAGAGTGAGCTTCTACCACAGTCCGGACGGCGTTGAGGCGAGAAATCAAAATAGCCAACATTCACCACAGACCGACAAGTACGACCAGCAAATTGGGCTTAATCTACGAAATCTAATGCCTTGATTATGTTCTTCCGACGGAACTAATCGGTGTGTTTAATCGATCGTGTTTCTTTATTTCCCTTTTAGGGACTTCGAGATAGTGACGCTCCACGAATTGCGAGAGGACGAGGCCGAGGCCGAGGGCGACGAAGACTCTCCTCTGCGCCGAGACTTTGGCGACTTTGCGAGCTTCGAGCCCACTTCCATAAAGAGCAACTCGACCCCAAGGTACGGCAGCGAGCTGTACGGCGAGAACTCGAAGATCCCCTCGGCCTTCCACGACCTGCCCTCGTCCAAGATCCCCCTTAAGGCTGGCTTCGAAGACTTCGACGACGTATCGGCGGAGTCGATGAGCTCCAGCAAGGACACCTTGAATCTGCCATTCGCCGAGGACAGCCTGAAGTCCGTCAAGAGCTCTCCCTTTTCTGAGAGGAAGACTCCTTCCCGGAGCAACGCCAGCCTGGCCTCGACCGCGAAATCCACGAGTCCTAGGAGCATGACGAAGTCCGCTTTCCCGGAGAGTCCCGAAGCTCCCAAACCTCGAGGGAACTCCGACTATGAGAACAGGAGTCCGGAACGCGTGTCCTTGAACGCGAAGAACGCCTCCACGCGGATCGAAATCGTCGACATCAACGACGTCGTCGTAGACGATCAGAAAGAGAAGTCTCCCGTCGAGTACGTAAATAGATCCGAGACTCTTAACAATGGTTACATCGGAGGTGCGACCACGTAGTCCTGACGGTTCGCGGGAACGTATTCCCTGCGACGCGGAGCGGGCCAGAGAGTCCTTTGAACTTTTCTCACTCGTGTCGTTTGCGATGCGAAAAGGGAAATTGCGCAACGGCGGGGCAACATCGGTTTGAGTTGTGTCACGTTCGATCGGTGACTCCGCGAACAACATTGGTGTCCGATCGACGATAAAAGAGAGCCGAACTTTTACTGTAGTCGGTGTTCGTAGAGCTTGCGAAACGAAGGCAGTATTCACATGTACGATCGACACGAGCGGCCGTCAACACCAACCAACATGGCGGCTCGCGTTTATATTTTGCATCCCTATCGGAGGTTTTTATACCCGAGTGCGTGCCATCCCTGATAGTCATTCCCGGTCGCAATGACTGGTACGATTTCGATCAGTAAATCAATGATTATGCCGGGGCAGCGAGATAAAAATTCTGTAAAAATTCACCCTCTTTTTCACGGTAAGAGGATGGTCCGTTCAAGCTGTAGCTCGACGATGAATGGTTAACCACAACGACGACGACAACGACAAACCGATGCTGCCTGTTCTTTTCTCCACTACTAGTGTAAATTATATACCCAGTTTATATACATATACATATATATACACATACAATGTATATATGTATGTGTATATTTATATAATTGTAAGAGCCTGAGATGAGCTAAGTGCTGAATCGTATGGGGAGTCTAATTGCAGCGATGCTTGTGCCGTTTATTTAACGTCGCTTGTCTTTTAGAGGCGTTTCGGTTTTACGGTCTTTGACGAAATTGCCGTTCGCTACGTGCGAGGGCAGCGATACGGAAACCAAGGGACAAATGCGAATGGCGACCCGAACTGGGGAAAAGTTGCCTCGAAATTGAGACCGCTTTCCTGTACAGTCATTACCTAGGGCGAATATAATTGGCCGGGATCGGATGAAGTTGACCGGCCAAAATGCACGTTTCTTCATCGGCATTAGCGTGGAGCTTTTGAACGAGGGCGTCGTTTGCAATCTATGCAATTCTAGCCGATCCTTAGTTCAAGGAGCCCCTCTCGTACGTTATCGTAGAGCAGATTTTCGTCAAGACTCGTCGGTGGAATAAACGCGTCGGCTAGTTTAAGAGAAAATGTTAGCCCAAACATGACGGTCAAAGGACGATAAGGAGTAGATTTCGATGGACGTTGATGGTCTTCATTTTACATTGGTGCGTAGGACGGTAGAGGGACCCGACGAAGAGACGAAAGAGCTTACGCAACGAGGTCGGACGCGTCTAGGAGTGAATCTGAGGTTTTAAAATGACAGAGTGCGTTTACAAATCGATAGTTAAACTTAGGCGAGGATACATTAGGAGAGTATTTAGGAACTTAGGGTAACGGGATGACGAATCGACGAATCGGATTAATTCTCTTGTCCCTTTCCTTGGTTTCATGGCAGTGACGGTTTCCTCGGGGAGAGGCATTTTTTTTACTGAATGGCGTGTACAGATTTTCCTGTCGTATCCGGGAGAGAATAGTTTAACGCAAGTGCTTGAAATCCAAAGGTCGAAGAGTTGTTCGCGTACGTGGTCTTCGTTCATTCTACATTACGGATAGGCGAACGACGATAATGAGAAAGCCGATTGAACTATTTTTTTTTTTATACATATATATATACTTTTGTACTTCGCGGCTAACCCGTTGGGGTGCCTCGAGATGGTCGATTTTAAGATTGAGATTTAAAAGTCGTGCTTGAACCGCGGATGCCACGCGTCTTCGGCATTCTGGACCGTTAGTCTTCGAAGCTCGGTGACACTTCTCTCTAAGAAGAAGTGCGGCACTCGTAGGGTCTAGATCCGGAGTTAGATTTAACTCGGTATCCGACGAATTTACATTGTATCGTAGTCTTATTTTCTACCTGTATTTTTTCCTCTTTCTTTTTTCTCTCTCCTCGATTTAACGTCTTTATACATGCGGCTCCGGAAATTTTTCGTACAATGGTGGTCCTTGAGATTTTGTAGCCACGGTTTCATTGAATCATGTCGAGTGCGAAATAACGCCGTAGGTGTCATCTCGCAGGTTGAATATTGTAGACCACGAGGGAAATACGGGCTAAGTATCCTCTGTCCTGATCTTTTTTTTTTTTGTTTATGCACCACTGCTAACGATTAATCGAGGTGGTCCCTTTGCTATCGGTCTCGACCGATATATTTTTGACTCCTGTTAAATTACGTTTTAAACGTCTGCTTGGTCGGACCTGATGCAAATCGGAAATTATTGGATTCGGTGTAGTCTCGTAATGTAGACGAGATAATAGCCAGATTTTAAGTGCAATATTACGGGGGATACATTGTCAGGCGGATCACTTTTATCATGATGACTTGAAAAGGTGACTTTCTCGGTTCCCTTCTAGTCTTCGATCTTTTAATCTTCTCATTTCAGTTAGGGTACGATGAGTTCGGGTCACGGTCGGAATGTCTAATTCATTTAGAGCACGGATCAGAATCGATAAAAATAGTCTGGCCGCGACCAGGCTGTACGCAAAGAACAACAAAGACAGACATAAATCAGCTGATAACGTGTAAAAACAATCGACATTGTACCCATGTACAAAAGTATCTAATACATAGATGTTTTCTTTTGTTTTTTTTTTTAGAACTTTTTCCTTAATCTTCATTCTCAGGTCTCGTTCATCTTTGCAAATTACATATTTTTGAGACGTGCCGCTTTTTTTAGTGCTTGCGAGGAATGATGCTCACCGCAGACTATGTGAGTCATTTCGTCAGCACGGACTACGCGAATTGAGTTGACTGTTTTTCACCGAGTACCTAGCGCGAGCAGCTACATCTTTCGCGAAGGAATTTTACAAAAGAGCTGTGCGAAATTCTCGCAGTAAATAAGTTAGGCGAGCTACGCCATTTCTGACCTTTCACAACGAATAAGAGTTCATCCGTCACCTAGTCGGGCAAAGGGTTAAGGTCGGTGGGAGAATAAGTTGCGCTTTTCTTCGCACATCCGGTGCCCTCGGACAATATATCACGATAGTTTCGGGAATGAACGCGAAACGTCATTCCGTAGAGCCTCTTGAATCATGTCGGAAGGAATTAGTCGAAACTTGTGTAGAATCCGCTCATGAAGTCGTAGTTAAAGTGCAGACCCGTCGTATGTCCGCTACTTGAACCTTCCAAGAGCTGCGGCTTCCTCACTTTTCCAACCCCTCTATATCTTCGTGTCTTCAACTTGAAATCTACGTGGACAATCGGTTTTACGCAATCCGTTGTTTCCTCCGGCACAGTATTTATAGGATGCTGTACACGCTTCGTCTCTACGAACGGGAGCGACTCTTAGTACTCGTAACTCGGGGGACGTTCGGTCTACGGACAGAAGTCGTTAGGGCACGACCATTCCCACCTTAAAAGATACCTACCAACTAAAGTATTCCACCCGAATCCACCTTACCGAGCTTAGAACCACTCTTGGCACTGTTAGAGGTAGTTTACCCGCGTTGGCACAACGCAATGACCTCCGGTCGTTCCATTCGTTCTATCCGTCGAGTATTCCGCATGCCCAGGGATTAGAATCCCGAGCGAAAAGTAGCCGTACCTAGAGACAACGGAACAATAATGTACTGTCGCAGTTTCAAGAGACCGAGGAGCAAAAGTGCGCCCCGGTAACGAGGGGCGGACGCGCCAACACCCTCGGGGTCGCCGGCTCTCGACGATGTATCATATATAATGGTCGCTGGAACTCTACCTTCCCACCGTTGTTAATGTTACATTTATATTCAGTCACTTAAAGTTCGATGGAGCCGATCGGGGAAACGGATACCTCGGGCTCGAGCCGCCAAATTAGATGAAAGTTGGGAGAGGAAACCATCGAGAGTCGGTGCCCTCGGGATTCTCGAGAGCCCGCCTGAGCAAAATTGCCTTAACGCTTTGAAGATCATGGCTTTTACATTCCAACAGTCGTATCGATGTCCCCTCGAGTATTGCAGCGGGCGTTCTACCATGTAAACTAAGAAATCCGGCGATTTTGCCCGATTAACGGAACAGATGGAGAATATCGTGGGGAGGACTATAGGCAGCGAGCTTTCCCTCTGATTAGTTACCGATGTGCCTACTGAGCCTGCCAATATAAACCCTCGTTTCCAGGATATATAATACTCAGAATATTTCCACTTCTTTCTGCGAAGCAGCTCCGATATTATATAGTCAACGGGTTCCATCTTCCTTCTGCGCATGAGTCGCCGCGCCTCGCCGTACGCCTTAGGCGACACCATTTTACCTAACCTAGAAAATCATAGAGTTAAGTCGATTCTATCATGTATATACAAGAAACAAAGGACAATTAGTTTTATAACAGCCGTATATGATGTATCTACTCGAGAGCAGGGCAAGACGTGTACAGTTCGGACGTGACGTGTATACATATGTATTTATAAATATTGAAGAGAACCCAGAGGGCTCGGGACGAACATGTGTGGAAAGGACTCGGAACTCGCTCTCTAACCTTTTGTCTGCGGTTGTTTTTGTAACTTCCACCCGCTGACTGTAAATACAGGAGTATTGCACGAATGGACGTCGAATTGTTTAGGATTTCGTGTCGTCAGGTGGCAGCCCCTTTGGCGCTGCCTAGAGTCCTCCCTACTGTATTCTCCATATCGCACGTTAGAAAGAAATCTTAACAACAATGTAAAGGCGCAAAGCCAAAAACAGGTCCACTGTTTTAGAAGGCCAGGGTGCTCAAATCGTTAAGCCAAAAGACGAACGACTTAAGTCCCGAAATTCCCGTCAGCGCGAAAAATTCGAGCGACTCGGCGCCGATAGCGATTAATCTTTGCAGCGTTCGAGCTTTAGGAATACGGCATTCGATCGCCCGGCACCTCCGGTCCCCAAATTCTTGGATTATTTTTTCTATGACCCACCAGAGGATCACGGACCCTCTCCCCAGGGGCCCGATTCCAAAGAGAAGCGAGTCGGGATCGGAGGTCCAGGAATCGAGGGTCGCGAACCGCCAAGACACTTCGCCGTGCTTTTCGAGTGGACGAGAGAGCGTAGACTGTCGCAAACCCAGTGAGAGCCAAGATTGATACGATAAACGGAACATATAAATATATAAATATATATACATACATATGCATATATATTGTAACAAAGCTCGAGCAGCAAGCGATCGCTGTATGCGGCCCGGAATTGAGAAACCGCCCCACTACCCGGCCGGTCCGTCTCGCGCGATAAGGACCAGAGTCCCGGGATATTGTCACGCGACTCTCGACCTAATCGCGCGGCGCTCACGGGCCTCGGGACCCGCGACCCTGTATACAACCGAATTTGAAGCGCCGCGGATGGGAGGGTATATATTATCAACGCAATACAGTTGAAATTAGACATATAACGAGCCTGAAATACAAGACTGATTAGCTAATCCCCGTATCTATGATTAAGCGATGTATCTCGCCCGCCCCGCCCCTTAGCCACCGAGCATGCCGACCCTTTTTTCTCGAGGGAGACGGTAGAAGTTCCAGATACCCTCGCGCGTACCGCGCTCGTGCGAGAGATGTCCGTTCGTTTTGTTTTTTTTTTTTGTTTTTTTTTTCTCTCATCCTTAGTTTTGTAACCGCAGGCCGCGGCTTCGGGAGGTCGCGCGTCCGACTACCCACGGTAGGAGTAACTGCACGGTAACGTTTAGAACATAACCAGTGACCTAGTAGAAGATAGTTTACGTCGTATGTCTAGTTTACTCATTGCGCTTCGCGTATCGCTGTATCGTACCTTAAACACACACACATACACACACATGTACACTAATCGTATTAGTAGGAGTTATGTACAGGTTAAGAATCGTATCGGACGTAACGAGGTAGCGAAGCATCCGGCGCACCAGAACCATGTGTAATCCCGTATCGCGTGCTATGCGGCGTGCGAGGAGTGGAGAGAGGAGGGAAACGGAAAAACGCCGATGGGAACGCGAGGTGACCGAGATGTTGCCCTGGACGCGATTTAATTCCCGTATGTTGTCCCTGGAATCGGTGGATGTGGAATTAAGGCTGTCGGAGGGTCGCCCAGCGGCGTTGGGGGTCGCTCGTGGATGGATTCACGGAGGAACGGAACCGGTGGAGTAGACCTCGCCGGGCGGATAGAGCGGAATGGAACCCTTAGTGCTGCAGTCACTTTGATCGACCGTGACATCGATTCTCCTTTGGTGCTGCGGTAATTTGCGTTGACTGTGACATCGAGCCTTTGGTGCTACAGGCACTTCCTTTGACCGCGGCTTCGAACCTCCGGTGCAGCAGTCCTGTGGCATGAGAACTTTAATGCCGCAGTCACCTGCAATGACCGGGACTCGATCTTTAGTGCTGCAATCACTTATACCGCAGAACGATAACTTTAGTGCCGCAATTGATTCGAGTGACCGCAGCGCGGCTCGTCCGTTGCCGCATCCGTCTGTTTTTCTGCGTTTCCTGGGATCTACGTCCACACTTATCCCCTCGACACTTTTGTTTACCCTCTTTTATATATATATATTTTTTTTCTCTCTTTCTACCGAAGCTGGCTAGGCTTGCGTTTTGTGTTTATCAATAAGGGACATCTCTCTCCTCCTTCCTCGTCCTGCGACATTCGGAATCCGTTCGTTTAGTCTCCTACTCTTGTGGGAATAATTCTAAGTGACCGGCAGGTGGAACGTCGACGGTGCGTACCTGTAATACAAGGTTTCGTTGTTAGCCATACTTCGAAAGGTCTCGTCCTTCCGAGTCCACCCATTCCGTCCTTTTTACCGTAATTACTCCGATTACGCGTAGCCGTTGTTTATGCCGACATTGCGGCCTCTAACTCTCCGGATTAGTGCAGGGAACTATCGGGTACTTTCACGTCGACGGGTCATCCGCGAGGTCTCGCCCTGTTACGGGCTCCCTCGTTTGTGACAGTCTTTCACTTCCTAATCTTACTCCTAGTTTTATCGACCAAGGTCGAAATCCTCACTTTCCAGCCCCCCCTCGGGCAGTCTTTTTCTCCCCTCTTTCGACGCGCCACATTCGCCATTCCTTCGTTTTCGGGGAACCTCCACTGGCGGCCTCCTCGACCGAGCCCAATCGATCCCAAACTTCGGGGCTTATCGATCGACTGATCCACATCCGAGCGAGTTTCGTTTCCACCCTCGAGAACCACCCTAAGTGTGTTAACCCCGGCCGGTGAAACTTACTGATTTTTATACATTTACATATATTGGTAACTTAACGAGGCGTCGCGCCGCGCGGACTTTTTCTTAAACCGACTGTACGATAAGGGATCGGGAGTACGAAACTTGTATATATATATGTATGTATGTATGTATGTATGTGTATACAGGACACGGCCTATTCCACCGCGACCACACGGACTCGTGGTTATACAGAAGTTCATCCGCTTCCCTTTACATTTAATTGCAGAGTGAAACGGCTGTCCGTTTTGTCCTTTTTTTTTTTCCTTATTTTTCTTTTAACCGTCTAATTACCGATCGAGGGACCCCACTAAAAACACTGTACCCCCGAGATCATTCGATAACCTCGCTACCTTTGTATTTATTAATTAATAATAACGTTTAGAACAAATAAATACGTAGCTCTCGGTTGATTAGCGGCCCTCCCTTCTTTAGACTCTGGGATTGGAAGGGGAAATTTTTCCGATTGGTCCATTTTTGGAGGACACTTAGAGTTTTTGCCGGGTTTCGGGGACTTTTCTTTTTTTTTTTCTGCGGAGGGGTTTAATGAATTTTTGTAATTCCATTAAGTTTTGCCATCTTCGTGGGACATAAGGCGCGCAAGCGCTCCGCAAATGGGTTATCCGCTTTCATGGGCGCGCTGCATTTGTCGGGTTGCAGTTCGAGGCTCGAGTGTCAGTCGGTTAGAGTGTTACGTGCCACATGACGTGGACTTAACATCGTTACGATCTGGCTACGTCAACCGGGCACCAGGTTTCCTTATCGACCTTATCGGCTAATCGTTCCCCCCCGATTGCGCATCCCAAAAAGCTAAGGATCCGCGCGAAGTTTCGCGAGGTCGCGCGACTTTGGAGGAGCCTGTGACGAGATATCACTCCGACGAGTGATTCGCACCCGAAAATTCGTATCAAAGTTTCGATCTGACTCGAGTCGATGCAATTTCGGGGGAAGAAGTGACGAAGTATGACGCAGTGCGTGGAAGTGGATCGGTGGATTTGCAACGGAGCGCCGAGACGTCGGAGGTCTGCAAGGGGAGGCGGGTCTGATAAATTCCGAAAGACTTTCTTACCGGAAGGAAGTCGTAGAAAATTTTCTAAGGGAACGTGTATAATCGGGAAATACCGTAAACAGAAGGGAATTTTTCCTGCGATCCAGAATTTATAATGGGTGACAAGTTCACGATTGATCGCGGAAACGAGATCCTGGATGGGAACCGTCTTGATGCGGTGGATGTGGAAACCGATTCGGAAGAACAGGTCGACTCTGAATCGGAGCTCGAATGTCAAAATGCGAGAGTAAGGGAGGATCTAAGTGCTCGTCGATTGGGGGACAACGTTCCAGCTGACTCGTCCAAAAAGTCGACCGATAACGATTCGGATTTATCAACGACTCCAGAATTCGTCGCGGCGTCCCGCGAGGTTTCGCCTTCGAACGAAAGACTTATGGACAACGTCCGCGTGGAAAGTACGACCGACGAAAGAGAAGTCGGAGATTCGAATGGAACTGCCGATCGCGATGTTTCAGACCGTGAAAGAAGGATGCTGGAGGCGTTCATGATCGACCGGAATCTGGAGCGATCTTTCTTGGACGACGAATGGGAGGTTTCGACCAGTTTCAGAACGCATTGTTCGACGGACATCTTGGAGAGCACGGAACAAGATGGCTCGTTCGAGGAGGTCGTTCCAGAAACTGCCGGCGGAGAGTCGAAGACCAACAAAGTCCTGGAGATAATCGAAATGAAGATGACCAAGGCACTGCGGAACTCGCCGCAAAGGTCGCGTCCAAATTCCACGGCCGAGCCAGAAGCCGGTGGCGAGGAAAGTCCAGCGAGGCGAAATAAAGAAATCCCAACAACCGAGGGGAAAAGGGAAGAGACGAGGAGGTCGACGCAAGGCGAAGAAATTTCAACGAATGATCGGTATAGAAGGATCCCAACGAGGGAAGAGAAAAAGGAAGAGACGATGAGGTCGACGCGAGACGACGCATCGTCGGCGGATTTCAAATGTAAATGTCAGAGCGAGGTTGATAAAATTCAGATAAATGCCGCCGATATCGAGGAGGAAGAAATCGAGGTCTCGGAAGTGGAGAGAAAAGCAGCCCTTAAAAAGCAGCTGTCGGTCCTGATAGAGGAAGAGGCGACGCGAATCGATGTCGACGAGGCAGGCATCGACGACGATGATGACTCCACCGATGCGGAGGTGAGGAGGATCCTGAGTCATCGAAGTCCGGTGAATAATGGGAACGATGTCGTCGATGACGACGCGAGCGACGACAGCGACGAAACGAGCTCCTACTGGACGAGCAACTTGGCGACGATCGGAGAGGAAGAGGAGGACTGGTCGGAGTACGCGGACTCGTGAGCATCGAAAGAAATCAGTAACGATAAGCCTTTCCCTGCCGAACGATTCGCGATCTCGCGTTTGGAGGAGCCCGTGACGTCCAGGCGGTCGGCATACACGCGATACATAGAATTATCGAACGCCAACGACTAGAAGTTTGGAGAGCCACTTTACTCGATACTAATGAAACACGTCCTTCCCACAGCGGCAAGCCCCAGGACCAGCTCGGCCAGTCGCCGATGGACAAGGAAGTGGAAAGGAACCCGGCATCTGCCGAAGAAATCCACGAAGAGGGTGAGTCCTCTCCATCATCCAACTGGCAATGCCCTGCGGGAAGTGCGTTCACCAGTTGGTCGCAACTGGAGACCACCTTCCGTCCGACACTTGACCATAAAGGCGCCGATTCGCTGGCGCCGATCGCTCAAACGTGGGGTAACTTCTAAAGATATTCCCCTCTAGACTCGATGCAATAGAGAAGTTGAAGATTCGCTTCAAAGTCAACTGTTAAAACGGTCCGAACGCTGCTACTCCTTGCTAAGGGAGTCGACGTTCGAGCGGATCACGTGACCGCGGAATACTCGAATCGACGCCAACGGAGAGGTGCCCGTAGGATTTTGGCGATCGCCGATTCCCGACAAATAACAGTTCCCCGGTTGGACCGTTATAGCATCGACATAATGGGATTCGGTAAGCCGAAACGCAGGGTCGGCCGAGGTGGAGGGAACGCGAGCAACACCCGGTATGCAGAGTGGCCACGGTGCACACCTCGCGGCGTCCCTCTTTACAAAGGCGTGTAAAGGTTACGCATTAATCTCGGTGCGTTACGCGCCCCCGATTCTCCAGTTTCACGCCCGCGAAACGGAGGCAACCTCTCTTTCAGACAAAGGCACGTAGTGACACACCTCCGAGCGGGAATTCGCGCGTTTACCGATTCGTCCCCCCAGCCCGGCGAGGCGCATTCCGTTCGCACGAGAGGAGCAGCGCTCGTCTCACGATCGGCGGGAAACGCTCCCTGGACGAACACACCCAATACGCCCGTCTAGACGGGAGTTTAGACCTGGTCGGTAGGGCGCGACTTGAGACCTGGCGGAAAGCGTAGTCGGTGAACAGAGCGGGATCGTCGTTCTCCATCGGGGCCATTTGGATCGATCTGGCACGGTGCCAGTTAGATCGAGCCAACTGGGCCCGATTGGTCTTTGTCTTCGACCTGGAGAAAATATTTAGTCCATTAGACTCGTAATGGGTGATAGGAAAAATCAGTCTTGGAATCAGTCTCGGTCTTGCACCTCTTATCAAAATGAAGACCAAGGAAAAGACCGATTTTTCTCATCACCGAATGCACCAGGCTCAGACCGAATAGATGTGGACGTTGCAGCGGGTCAATGGTCCCCCTCTCTTGGCTATCCGCGTGCCCAATGGTCAACGTTCACGGAGAGGCCGACCTCCGTGAACGTATCCAACTCTTGGGTGCACAGTTTTTGCGCACTCCTCGGACCAAGATGAACTTTCTCGTTTATACCGAACACGCCCAAGCTGTTTACGTCGCCGATGCGAGCGCATTCGGCCGTGAGTCAACCTAAACGGAACGAAAGGCCTGAATGCAACGTCTGTCTCGGGATGAACTTGGCAGAGACCCCGTTCCCTTCGGGAAGGGGAGGTACCGATGAGGTGCCCGAACCTCGTTATCCGAATAATTGGCTTGCCCGGGAGGGGAGATTCTCTCGGCCGTTCGCCGCAACGTTTGTCCAGGACGTCCGTTGCGAGTGTGGGTGGTTAATGGTGGTCACAACAATATGGCGGTTCGGCACGGTCTCAGTCCTGGTCTCGGTCTCAGCCTTTACACGGCTGAGAGCTCCAGTGGCTGACCGCGCTCAAGGTCCCATTCCTCCTTAATCGCTTTCCTTTTCGAGATCTTTCACTCTGTTCACTCCCAATCGAACCGACCGCAATACCTGCCGTAGTGTATACCTATATCGAGTCGAAGAAACGGCATTCCATCGCGCTAACAAGGTCCGATGCATGTAGTATACTGACCTAAAGATGACCGACCTCCGTCCCTTTCTCTCGCTTATATGTCGCACTCCTCGGCATGAACATTGGGGACCGTGGAGGGACCCGGGGGACGTTCACCGAACCTCGCTCTAACGATTCGATCGCTGAACTTCCGGGTTCCTGTCGTCTCGCTGGAATCGAAGGTTCGTGCTGAGGATGCATTCGTCCAAACGCGAGTCCCTGGAAGCTGCTCGAAAGGACATCGCGATCCTGCCACCCATCTAATTACCTCGCTCCGAGTGCATAAGACCGCGTTAAGAACTCACAGATCGAAAAAGTTCGAGAATGAAATTCATCCTTCGAAAATTCATTCATAAAAAATTCAAGCCCATCTAGTACCCTCCTTGTTTTAACGCATGCCGTTGCTGCTTTATATCCTCCTTTTTCTGAAAAAAATAATCGGAAGCGATTACTGGCTTCCTAATTAGACCGTCGCTTGACTAGCCCTATGACGCGCCGACTAGCGTAGTACCCGCGCCCAGCGCCATAGATGTCGCCCCCCGAAGCAGCGGCGGCATCTCCAGTGCCGCGGAGCGCAGTCGCTACTCGTCTCTACGTAGTCCACAGTCAAGATTACCGCTTTTTAGGCTCTTTACGAATTCCTGGTATCGTTTCACCGGCGAGGTTAGGTCGCGCGGATCGTTTCTGCGACGTGGCGGACTTGCAGGGAGAGGAGGGTGGTGGGAGGGGCGCGAAAAGAGCGCCCACAGCATGGCGGCGCGGCCCGAGTCGCGCTCGGCAACCCTCGGGTCGCGCGAGCCGACTTCGGGAGACTTCGGCCGGTCTCGACCCGCCTCGACGGCGAAGAGAAGGGAGCGACGGGATGCAAGAAGTAAGAAGTTAAGATGGTCCAGCACAGGCAGCGTTACCGCAGCCGGAGGTGATGACCTGCTCAAGGCCACCCGCTCCCAACCTCTTAGCCGGGGGGAGCTACTCTTATTATTCGGCTTGTTCCCTTTTCTCCTCGCGCTCCTTGCCGACTGCGTCCTCTGTCTCCCTCCGCGGCCTCCCTTCCGTCTCCTTCCAGATCCTTAATGTCAACTTCCCGCGGGAGCGAGGCCTTTTCGGCGAGTCCGACCCGCGAGGGGCCCTAACCTCGCAGCCAGGGCCCGGCGGAGTCAACGATCCAAGGAGCCGTCAGACTTGGGCTTCGAGCGTATCCACCTCCGACTGATCTCCTCGAATGGAGATTCTCGAACGGCAGAGATTTCTCCCCCCTTAAAACCGAACTGCAACTCGAATTTCATTGTCCCGTGGGCGGTAATTGGTTTTACAGCGACCCCGTTGTAGAGGCTGTACCGGAGCAAGGTCGCTTAGGCCAGTCGGAACTCTAACCTCGAAACGACCGGTCCAAGTATGGACTCGATGGTCCTCGCCTCGCAGAGTCTGCGAGGTCAGACTTTCGACCGCACCTACTGTTCCGCCATAACTGACTTTCCTTGAGCTAAGGATACCCTAAAGTCGAGTTCTCTCAAGTTTCAAGGATCGCGGTTGACTTTCCAGGGATTTGGCTGGCTGCGATCCGTAGTCCTGGAACACAAAATGGGAGACCTAACCTAATTCCCAGTTAGAGTCGGTGAATGTAGAAAAGCTCGCCCTTTCTTGAACCGCTGATATAATCTACGTAATTGGTAGTAAACGGGTTATATTATTAGAACTCAGGTTGTTTATTGCGCCGAATTATTCGGTATACGCGGACCAGGACACGCGGTTTATTATTGCGAGGCACGATTGCGTGGATCCGACGTTTAAAAACTCGGGGTCAAGTGGAGTCAACCGCACAACTATGTCGAATGACACAGCGCGGCCATTACCGCGATTCATTATCCCCGCTCTGTTTGCATTTATTGTTTGCGGGTCGCACGCGGACTCGGGTTAATTTCTTCTAATTGATACGCGTGTAAGCGACCGTCCAACCCACGTTGGGGCTGATATCGGAGGGCGTTTCTCTTCTTCGTGGAGTATAACACTTTGGGAAGGGGAGGGGCGAAAAGGATCGCGGTCTACGGCTCTGAAAGAGACGTTGTTTCCTTTTAATCTATTCGCGGATTCTTCTCCTACACTTCTGAGATACTTCCTCAAGATGGGACGAACTAAGCGAGAACCCTTCCATGCGAACTCTTATCTAAACCGAACTTTTAGTGCAGCCCTTAAGGCGAAAACAAAGCAGCGTCGCCAGAGGCTTAAGACGTTACGATAAATCTGCGCAACCGATCTGTACAGATCGGAACGTAACCGCGCATCGAGACCACGAAAATTATTTTTATGGTATATATATTTTCATGGTATATATATATATATGTGACACTTTCATATCACCTTAAGGCATCCACGCAACGATAATTCGTTGGGATTTTTCATCTTCGCTGTTACAACGATTTTTAATGTAGTGTTCAAGCATTGGTTAAATAAAATCGCAATCGTATTTGCAATCCATGCAGTTAAATTGCATTTTTTTTATATTTACCCGTCATGCATAGCATAAATCTGTACAGATCGGCTTGCCCAAATTTATCGTTTGGGATTTATCTTTCCGCGTCCTTAACCGATGCTATTTAACTGGAGATTTTCCTGCACGTTTCATGTCGCGTCCACAAATCCCTCCAAGTGGTGCGATGAAGTAATCGGTAAGCTATGTTTCCTTCTCGCATTCTATATCAACGATTTCCACATTTTCGGCACGTCCTGCAAAGCAGAGGACGGGCCGGACAGGACCCGGCGACATAACCTAACGCAGCCCCGGCGTGCATGCCTACCCCCTCCCCTGCGCGCGGACGGCACCAACCGTGGAGGAGGCTGGCTTCGGCGGGCAACCGGTCGTCCAGCCTCAGTCTCAGCGGAGCCTCCGAGCCGGTTGGACGGTCGACCGAGGTGCGACCCGCTCGCCGACCCGGTTCCGGCCTCGAGCGCCATGCCCTGGTCTCGACTTCGCCTCTGACTCCCATCTCGATCGCGGCCATCCCGAGTGTCCCGTGACCTATGACCCGGGCCTGGTGCCGCGACCCGACAGGTCCGAGATTTCTCCTTTCCTATCACCGCGCAGGACTCGGCACGAAGAGGGTCGAGGAATTCGATTCGACCGTCGAATCGAAAATTCGATCCGAGTAGTCCTGCTTAGCGAGCCTTTTTCTCCTCGAGCCGGCCAAGCGCGAATGCGAAATCGCTTCTAACGCGACCGTTTTTATTTCATAAGTAGTTTGTTATCCGTGGTGGGTAGATAGGTAATTTGAAGTGGTCCTTCAACAACGGTGGATAAGTCTTGGCGTGGGCCGTTGATAGGGGATAGTGTATAAGGGTTTACGGTTTTTTTTTTTTTTTTCGAGTGTATCGCGTCTTGTGGGTTTATCGACTCGTTTGGGATGTTTTCGGGCTATTTTTACCGGAGAGGGTCTCAAGCCGTGGAGGGATTTTTTTTTTTTTAGAAGCCTTAGACGCTTGGGAGAGATACGCGTCCGGTAAGGGAAAGAATGGAGAAAGAAGTTGTCGGGCTAATTTTCACTTAACGGCGCACGTTGCGATAAATTGAACCGCTAGTCAGGGACTGGATGGTAATTAAGTGATAATTTGCCAATCGGCCGCACTAATCCGTTCGCGACTTTACATGCGTGGTACACGTATGTGACGTGTACCCTCCACCTGCGGACCGACGCCACGAGGTCATGCACGCTTCTCGTGGCGACTCGTGTGGTAAAGTATTGGCAAACCTTCCAGAGTGGCCGACTCCTCGTCGTTTAAGCTACTTCGATCATGCCGTCGATTGGCCGTTTCCGTTGCTCGCCTTCAGAGCGCGATCTGGCCCGCGATTAAAATTCTAGGGCTCTTTTCTTAAGAGATGCGTCGCTCGTAGTCGACTGGGAGTCCTCTGTCTTGATTCATAAGTGTTGACTACGATTAACAGATTCGGATGTTTCCTTCCCCATGTGTCATTTCTGGTCGCCTAGTTCACGATCGATCTCTTTTTCCTATATATCTTTCCCAGTTAACCGGATTGACTTGCAAAGGTTCGACCGATTTCGTGTCTCGGTTCATAATTCCTCGACTTCGATCCGGCGGATTAAAATTTTTTCTTTCTAGTGCCTCACTTATGGTAGACTTGAAATTGTCTTTGTCTTTGGTTCATAAACCCCAATTTTGATTTTCCACCGAATTTTTTCATCTTAGATCGGCTGAAAGTTCTCATTGCAAATATTTAATCGATCACGTCTTATATTTTGGTTCATAAACCTCGACTTCGATCTTGCAGATCCGGCAGCTGAGAGGATGGACAACTGCAGCGACGGTCAACGGCTGCCCCCTGACGGGGACGAGTTCCCGACGACCTACCAAGAGTTCAACACCGAGAAGCACTTGCAGCTTCTTTCTTCGACCGGGACCACGACGGGTCCCAGCGGAGGTCACCCTTGCCTCGAGGGCCAAGCTTGCGCCCCCACCGAGAACTTTAACTTGCCATCGCGAGATTACAGACTTGCCGATCCCGTTCAGAGGAGTCCCAGCGACGCAAAGAACTCATTACCCGTTGGTCACCGGTGCATCGAGAGCCTAGACTTACTGGACAATGCGGCGACTCAAGATGTGGACGTGGTCGCGAAGAGTAAGGCTTCCTACTGGTCCACGGAAGAGCCTGGGCGAAGGAGTTCCGCCTTCATCGGGATGTACGTCACCATCAGGCCCAACGGCTCCAGCGGTTACTCGTCGTCGGCCGAGAAGGAGATAAGGATCTCAGGTTATTAGACGTTAGTCGGGTTATTTGGGTTATTCGGGTTTATGGGTGGATGAGACGATGGAGGGCTTTTGCACAATCCAGATTTTCATGCGTGGGCTCAGCCTTCGCCCCGGACGCCCCCGACTTGGTCACCATCGGTGGTTTGCGGCTGTACGTTAACCTCCGTCGCGCTCGAATCGTTCCGCCGTCTAAAGGCGTCTAAGGAAAGGCCGCGGCAGACTTTCGCTCGATAAAACCCGCATTAATTAGGGAAGTTAAACGGAATGTTTCACGGATTAATCGATTCCAGGTTATTATCACAAGGAAGTGCCGACGGAGCTGCAGGTGTCCGGCGGAGAGGAGCGTCCACCGCCTTTGCCGGCGACGGCGCCGCCAAAGATCGACCCCACCGATCGGTCCCCCAGGGTCCCGTCTAAGCCCCAACCCCCCAGGAGGAAGTTCTCTCTGAACGGAGACATCTGGCGGCAGGACGACAAGTCCGAGAAGTCGATCAAGGACAAGATCGCTATGTTCTCGTCCCAGAGTAGCCTGGAGGCGCCGATCTTCCCCAGCACGGCGGCGGCCTCGGCCGCGGTCGCCAACGGTCGGAGGCTGCCCAAATATAGGTCCACCGAGAACATCTTCACCGAGGACAAGACCTTGCAGAAAGGCGGAACATCCGCTCCGATGAAAGGATCGCATGCCTCCGTCGGACTGATCAACGCGCATAAATATAGCAACGTCACTGCGAGACCTGCACCGATGCCGAATCCTGGGAACTCTTGCCAGAACGTTCCACACTCGATGGTCTCCTCGCAACCTGCTGCGAGGTTGCCCGGAACTGGTACGCAAATGTCCAGGTCGGAGTCATTTATTGCCGGTCAGAAGACTGGCTCGTCGGCAAATAGTTTGGCTCGAAGGACGTCTTTGGACGTCTCGAATGAACACTCGGAGTTGCTGGAAACAAAGACCTGCGAATCTGTCCAGAATCAGTCTAAAGGCACGACAACTGGTCCAATGGCGAGAGGCAGCGCCGAAGCAAAAGACAATCCCAGTTTTCCAAGCGTCTCTGCGACAAGTGGGTCCAGCTTGACCCGCGCTACCAGTTTTTCAGTTGGAAGTACCTTCCAAGCCCAGGACCATCAGCCTGTGCACGAACGACCTACTGGGGCACAGATATCCAGGACGAACTCCCTGGCCTCCACATTTAGGAGGCTCGGCGAGGAGTCGAGGAGATCGGGCCTGAATCAGCTGATCGAGCAGCGGAGAAAGGGGATTTCGAAACTGCGCGGTCTGGTCATTCCTGAGAAAGAGACTGTGACGGTCGCCCAGCCCATCATCGACCTGCCGGAGATAAAGTCCAGGAACTCTGCGATTCCCTCCCAGGTGCGGGTTGACCGATGGTTGACTTTTTTTCCGAGATCTGAATTAATCTTTTTGGAACGACGTAGAGTAGGGAAGGATGCGTATCTAATAATCTGTGAATTCGTTTCAGCTGCCGATCGTCAGCATCCAGGATAAGTGGGGATCCCAGAGTTCTTTGGCCAGCACCGTCAGCACGACCAGCAACACCTCCAGGATCACAACGTCCTTCAAGATTCCTGCACCTCAAATCTCCTCCCATTATTCGCCAGCCTTCAAGAGAAAGAGCTTAACCGTGTACGGTACGTCCTTGAAGACTGCTCCCGGGATGAAGACCATCCAGACCACGCCTTCCGTGGTGGTCTCCGAGGCTCCCAAAAGTCTGGAGAGCGTTTGCAGTCCCACGAGGAGTGACTACGGCTTCGACTACGCCTCGTCGACCAGCTCCTTGGAGACCCATCAGCTGAAACCCAGGACGATCTTGAAGAAGAACAAGACGGACTACGACGACTCCGACAATGACTCCGCCGTGAGCAGCTCGCAGAGCAGCATCTCTCGAGGTTTCAGCCCACCCATGTCGCCGGTCCTATCGGAAAGGTCGTCACACTCTTCGGAGCGGTCGGAGAAGTCCTTCGTTTCCACCGAGATGAACTATCAGCGACGCAGCTCGGTTCCGGATAATTCCACCAGGAGCTTTGTTGCAAGTTTCACCGGCAAAACCTCTAACGAAGGCCCCCAGTTTGGCAACAGGTCGAGCACCTTCTCGGAAAGGTCCCACTCGGGTTCTGAGAGATCCTCGTCCAATGCAAGCAGCCCAAATCCCAGGACCCGATACACGTTGGAGAGTAACTCGAAGGATTCTCAGCTGATGCAGCGTCGGACCTTGAGGCGATCCAGCAGCACAGAGACCAACTGTAGCACCTCTTCGACTTTGACTTCAGGCTCTCAGACTAGCATGGACTCTCTGTCCAGACGCGTCCTGAAACCCCAAAGCGTGGAGGCCATAAACCGGAAGAACATCATAGCGAGTGCACGATGTCGCAGTGGGAGAGACACCAGTGGGTCGCCGTTGATTCAGAGGAAATTCTCGGACGACGAGGACGGATCCATCTCGGAGTACCTTCAGCGAAACGTTAACCGCAGACAGGACAACGACGACAATGGAACGGTTAGTAAGAGCGACATCAAAATCGCGTACATTGAGGTGACGGAAAGTCGCCAGGATTCGGAGGATCAGTCCGATGGTACCAGGTCGCCGATGAAGGGTCCTGCAATTTCCGTCACTGAAATGTCGGACGTAGAAACGTCGGAACCCTCCGACACCCTTAAAGCGTGGACCCACACCGAGGTGGTGTCGGTTCTTCATCGCGGGAACAAAAGCTCCGACTTGGCGAAGAAGACTATGACTTTGAACGAACCTCTTCCACCAGGGAACACACGAGTGTTTTACAGAAAGTCGTTGCCAACACCGGATAGGAAATCGATGGAAAGAACTAATTCTAGGGGCAGAACAACGGATCTGGATCCGAGTTCTGCATCGTCCAGACATTTTTACGCCCCTCCAAAAACGTTAAATAGCGATCAGGACGACCTTCTGACCATCTTATCCACGAGGACTAGATTGAGATCGACGGTTCACGCGAGGGAACCGAAGGAACTCGAAGACACCCTGGGGAGGAAACCTGAAACGAGACTGACTCGAAGTCAGAGCGTCTTGGGTGACGTTGTCACTGAGAAGAGCGGATCTACAAGAAGGCCCTCTTTCGAGTCTGGAGATAACGGTCTTCTGCGAAAGACTGGGAAGCCTGGGGAGTCTGGAAGGTCGGTGCCGAATTCCGGGGTCCTGGTCGAGGAGAAGTCCAGGATCTGGGAGAACGCTGATCCCTTCACTCGCGATAAATCCAAGAACACCTTGTCCAAGATACCCACCTTTCGGACCCTGGGTAGGAAGAGCGTCACCGTGTCCGACTTCAAGGAAGTCGAGGATTCAAAGAATCCTTCTTCGGGCTCGCTGACTCATCCTACGACCAGCCACTCGTACAGCTGTCCGCCGATCCTGGATAGCAACTTGCAGGAGGCTGACCGGGTGGTCAACTCTAAGGATGCCGATGACTACTCGGCAGGTGCCAAGGACACCGACAGCAATTCCGGCGAACCATTTGGCAGCATCAGCTCTCTCGACAGCACTAGTCTCATAACGCACCAGGAGTTGGTCCAGCTGGTGGAGGAAGTCAACCTGGAGGAGGCAGCAGCTGGATCCCACGACATCATCGTCGTGTTGCTTCACAAGGAGAACCCCAGTGGGAGCGTCGGGATCGCCCTGGCTGGTGGAATGGATTGCGAGACCAAGGAAATCACCGTCCACCGAGTTCTTAGACACTCCATAGCCGATAAGGATGGAAGGCTGCAAAGAGGCGACAGGATACTTAGCATCAACGGGATAAGCACCAGAGGACTGACTCACAGAGAGAGCTTGGCTGTCCTGAAACAACCGAGATCGGAAGTTGTCTTGGTGGTCTCCAGGACCAGGCTGGAACCAGGATCCAGACTCATCGCTAGCACCGAAAGCGTCGAGAGCGCGGTAGAAGGTGGGACCTCTTTGTCGATCCTTTGCCATTTTAATTGGATCAAGGTCTCCTTTTCTTATACGATATCTTTCCTAGGTTCCGAAGGTAGCGGCGCAGTGGAAGACGTGGCTTGGGGACCTGCCCTGACTGTGACGATCTGTAAAAATGGAGCTGGCCTTGGGTTCAGTCTGGAGGGTGGCAAGGACAGTCCCCTCGGCGACAGGCCGCTGATCATCAAAAAGATCTTTACGGGTAGGTCAGCTCATACGCGAACTTTGGGAACTGGGAAAGTAACGGCTTTATTCTTCCAGGAGGTGTTGCCGAGAAGACGGCCTTGAGGGCCGGCGACCAGCTGTTGGAAGTCAACGGAAGGGATCTGACGAGGATGTCGAGGATAGAGGCGTGGTCCCTCACGAAGAAACTACCCGACGGAGAAGTAAACCTCCTAGTCCGGCACCCTGCCACCAAGTCATCGTGAATGGTAGTCAATTCTAGTAATATATACGTATCCTCAAGTGCAACGTAGTCTCCTGGAAGAAGGAGAGGGCTGCAGCAGTCCAGAGTGGACTCGATCCGTTCCCATCTCAAGACGAAACCGCAAGACGACTGACGCGGTTACACCGGAATCTCTAAAGTGGTTATTTGACGAAACCGTAAACGCACGTTTACTCAGTCTGACCGAGATTACAGTTGATCTCGCAGTCCCATCACGATTTACTGGAAAATCATGGAGGTCTTGACTGACCGTGCTCCTCTTCCGAGGAGACGGTCGTAGTCGTGCAAGAGTCGGTTGGGTGTACTTCACCCCAACTTCTCGTTCATGTAAGACAATTCGTTAATAGTGTTGCCTCGAACAGTTGGGGGAACTATATTCAACCGGATTCTTGTCGAAGAGATCCAAGCAGTAGAACTTGTTAAAAGGAAACTGCATTAAGTGGATGAGCGACGACAAGGAAGTCGTCCCAGCGTGTTGGCAGAGTTTATCGCCGGTCCGGCGATTAATTTCCAATTGGTTGGTCGGTTGGCCAACTGGATGGGGGTTGAGCAATTGCAAGTTTTCATACTCATTCACCCGATGATATTTATGCCCGTAGACAGCTGCACAGTTGGAGGGGAGCGGAGGACATGCGTGTACAGTCGGCGGGGGAGATGCAGTGCAGTGATATAGTTTAATATAACGACGTTGTTAATCTAAGTAGATATATTGGAGCGTTGGAATTTAACAGTGACCTTTGTTTTCGGTATCCGCATTTGTTGAAAGTCCTGCTGTGATATGCAAGGGTGAGAACGACGAGATCTAGGGTATGGCTATTCCGCATTAAACGTCAACTAACCGAGTAGTGGTACATTGTCAGCTAACCTACACACACAAGCATAAGTAACCCATTAAATAGCCGTTCATACACTACTTCTATGCTTTGAACTTGTTTGTTTGGCAACAGTGCTCGTTTGTCCGTATCTACAGTCATGTATAGAAGCGCCTAAGGATTTCTAAAGAAAAAAAAAAAAAAGAACAAACCGTACTTGTACCCGTACTCCTCGATACGTCCTGTGAAGCAATTATATATTTCATGGAATCGGGAATGCGAATAAAAATTCTATTTCTTCAACCGTGTTTTCATCTTCCATATCTCCCACCCTACAGCTTCCAGGGCGTTGTTCAACGAAGCAAGAATTCAATATCTTCTTTAGACACGTATCTGAAAGATTCTGGTGTTCAAAAACCTTGTATCAGAGATGATCTCTGACCGGCACAAATCAGTGGGGGAGTGTACATACATACATACATATCTACCTCTGTATGCGCCGTAAGCTGCCATGGGGCACTGTCAGATGGCATCTCCGTCTGCAGATAGCAGCCGTCAGGTGGCACCACCATCGACGAATGCACCTGATTCCCGCATTCTCCGCCGAGGGCAGCACTGGTCCACGTTCACGCGACCCTGAGCTCCTATTCTCGACTTCATATGGATTTTTTCGCATTAAAATAAAAGAAAAAATGTTGCACTGTTGCAAAGTCGCGTCATTGGTCAACATTTCAAAGTCATATACGAAACTGCCTATTTCACATGCGAAAGTTAATCGAATAGACTCGAAAATCGGGTCTCTGTCCGTGAGCAATCTCCCAGTTAATCTCTATTTCAAGAAACTCGGTAGAGTTTCAAGCCAAATACATTTAAGCGACAAACTCGTAATTCTCTGTTACAGGACTCTGAATAAGGGGGACACACAATGCGCAGGCGTTACTTCTTCAAACTTGTTTTAATCTTCCGTTCGTGTCGTCGTTACTACAACGTAAACAAATTATGAAAAAACGTCGATGGATGCAGTTCCGAGAACAGCCGAGAAGTGGCCTAGAACACTTCGTGTATCAAACAATTTTCTCTCTTTTTTTTTTCGTTTTGATCCTTTCTTCGGCGTACGTTGCACGCAGTCGTGCGTGTGCGCTTATTTCTACCGGACCCGATGCGTTCATTTTCTTCGATTCCCTTCTTTGATTCTTTTTTTTTTTTGTTTATCCCCGTCTTACTGAATTTTCTTCTTTCTGCTCTTTAGTAATAAATACGACATACGTTGGATATACGATACTCACATGTCGTCGAAACGCATGATCCACTACAACTAGTATATACACAGTTGGTGTCCACCCGTACCGTACGGTGTAATGCACTCGGAGTAATGCATCGGTTGTTCTGTCACTTACGAGACCCTCCGTGAAAGAACAACGCCCAAGATGGACCCTTAATGAACGGTGTAACCTGGTAACGCTCCTATACTGCCGGTTAACTATTTAAAAAGAACAGAGCCCATCTTTCCGTCCAATTTTCCCTCCTTGCTCTACCATCAGCATAGGAGCGTTACTTGTATGGAGTAACGAGGTCTACATGCAACTAGTGCGTATACTACGCGTGTCGTGAGAGTGTTAATTACAAGAAATCGTGCAGGTAACCGTCGCTGCGAGATGTCGACTCCTCATTATTATTTAAACATGCACCGCATTAAACGCGCTCTGTACCCTATACTTCGCTATTTCTCTAAATTCGGATGTCGAAAGTGAAAATCGTCACATTACACAGTGCAGGAAATCGCGAGTGCAGTTCGCGCGTTCGCGTTAATACAGTGCACTGGAGGTAACGGGTGGAAAAAAAGAGAAAACGTATATTACACTTCGGGGAGGTCCCTTTGGAGGGGTTTGAGACCGAATTTCTGCCAGCTAAGCGCACCAAGATCGCAGTTTTCTCGAATTGTTTATGAAATGTTTCGTATTTTGGTCTTGGGTCCGTCTCCCTTAAGGGGCCATACCATAGTGAACGCCGAAAAAGTTAAACATTTTTGAGGCAAAAGTATGTGTTAAAATTGTAATTTTACCACGAGGTACGGGCGATAACTGTGTGTTTGCCGAATATAGTGCTAAAATTTAAACACGATCGGTTCACCCGTTTTTGAAAAGTCACCTGCGCCCGGTGCAAACAATTTTTGTTATTATTCTACGTTTGTAATAATCAGTAAATAAATATGTATCTTTTAAGAAAAAGAAAAATTGTCATGTATTCCCCTACATTAGACCTTTCATGGAAAGAAAAAAGAAGTTTGTACCATTATATGCAGTACTTTTTGAGACAAAAAAATGTCAAAAATGTGTGATTTTTTCGACGTTCACAGTGGTATAGCCCCTTAAGTCAGAATTTCGCTGCGCGCGATATTTGACTTCATCAAGTTACACCTAATTTATCCTGGTTTTTTCACTAATAGTTCAATGTTCCGACGTCAGGTTGGAGTTTGTGACCTTTTCTGATTTTTCTAAGTAACTTTAGAAAATGGCGGAAAACTGCAGTTTTGGTGCGCCCATTTGACGAGGACACGGTTTCGGACACCCTTAAGGGCGGAACGGAAATCGCTGTCGGGTCGTCTAGGTTCACGGTAGAGTTTCGCGTTACCAGAACATCTATTCCAACCTAAATACTCGGGTTACATTTTCTGTCCGCCTACGACCCTCTGTTCCCGTTATTAACCGTTTCTAAGACGATGTACAGGGGGAGGGTGCGTTCAGTTGCTGTCCACCTGATAACAGTAGGTCTATTTCAGGTCAGCGGAGAACAATCGACGATTGGCTTTCAAAAGGCCCGATCTTCGATCGATTAACCGCAGACCGTCCTGTATTGACTGAATGGCAATTACGATTTAACCACTAAAATTGGCAACCCTCGTTTGGTTCCCATGACTCAAGTATTGCTCTTTGTTACGTTTAAGCCGTTAAGTGTGCAACATTTCCTGATTGACTCTGAATTACAGTGATAACGTCAGTCGGCCTTTAAAGCGTAGTTCGCGATCGATTTAATGCTTAGCTAGTGCAGAACTTATTCTTACCGATTGTGCAGAAATTTCCAATGATGGATTCCATTGGAGTCGTTGGAAATTTCGGCACTTCCGGTGAATCCTGCACTTAATGCGCACTTAGTCCATTGCGAACGATACTCGGATGCGGCAAATGGCGACACCTGATGTCAAATTGGAACCCACACCTCACCAGGTGAGGTTTTACCTGCGTCCCAATTTCTCCCCAGGTTTGGAAGCCGTCGAGTGACTTTGAAAATTAACGAGACTCGTTTAAGTCGGATAAACTTGTGCAAGTTTTGGATAGCGGAACTTCCCGATGGAGTCGTTCGGTCGTGGCCTAACTCCCGGAAGGTTTGGACATTGTTCTCCGAGGTAATGCTTATATATTAACTGTATCGTAACCATGTATACAAGAGTTGCTGCAAGGACGACTGTGCCTTAACGAGTACCTTACGACACCGTTCGAATTATCCTAGACGATATCTCTCCAGCAAGACGCGATGCTCACCCTCTCCAACACAACTTTCGGATTACACGCAAAAAGAGCTCGCCGAAACTAATTGAATAACGTGACACTTCTCCTCGATTAAATTAAGTTGAAGAAAGTAATCCCACTCGGCTTACGATTAACGTAAACAACATCCGGTTGTTCAAACGATGCTCCCATTAACCTCGTGGTTACGTTACACTTTTGAAGAAGTTACGGTAATGGTGTCGATAACGCAATATAATTTTACTCTTCAACATGTACAATATATTTATGTATATAAATGTATATTTATAAGAACCCCTTAGTTTCGTAAGCCTCTAGGTCCGGGAAATAACGTCTCGAGGCGGCAGAAAGAGAGAAAAGCCGCAATGATAAATTCCACATCTCGACCATAATTCCCATAAATATGAAAACTCGATTGCCTCAGAGAACAGATAAGAGTGATCCGACGTAGGCGGTATGACGTTTGCAATTTTAAAACATTCACCACATTTTAGACATTTCTCATGTATCCGGTATCCCGCTAATAATGTTCTTGTTTTCGTTGGCAGGGTCATGATATCCCCATGATATGGTGTGCGGTCGGGATGAATCCTCTCCACTCATTTTTTATCATGGACCAGACACCAGACTGCAGCTAGGTGGAATCAATTTGACTTCTAAAGCGATACATCGTAGCGTTATCCTCGGCTGGACCGACCGATTCCGAAACCAAGGGGTCCACGATATCGTTAACGCGGTCGTGATTACGAAGGGTTATATCTACTATCGTTATCTGGCCGTCGACGGTCCCGGAACGTTGAGCGTCCCCTTAGGCCTGTGTCCTTTGGCCTTAACGCGTCCTCGGGGTGGGAGTGCTGTCGTCAGGTCTAGTTGGGTATCAAATTTGTATAGCACTTAGAGTATCGCCATACCTTCCGGCCAAGAGCTGCAGCCAACTTCGGGGAAGTTTGCGAAACCCGAGCTTCAGCCAGGGACCGGGAGTACGGCGCTTTTCCTATCGAGATTTCCAAGAAGATAATCCCTCGCTAGAGAATGCGACCTCTTAAGCCCGCCACGGACTTTGTATATGTATGTGCTTCGCGACTCGCGATGCGCCATTTTGTACAAATTCGTCGATACGACGAGCCGGCATTGCGCATTATGCACATTATGTTAATTTTCCTGGTTCCCGATGCATGGTTCACATTTAACCGATTGCGTTCAATCTGTCCCATGAATGCTTGATGACTAATCACCCAACCACCGTATGCGTAATTTTTTGTGGGTTTTCTTCCGGAGCGGTAAAGACCCTTTCGAGGACATCGAGTCTTCCGCCAAGATGGCGACCATCTGGCACTATTCCGTCCTGATAATACTTGTACAAGGCGCACCGCGACTCGCAATTCGTGAATCCCGAACATTGCACGATCTGTAATGGCCTTTACGGTAGGCGAACGTCGGAAGTTCTAAGAAACGCGACGGAACTACGTCGCACTTTGCGTCCGACTCGGTTCGCCCTTAACGACCCTCCCATGGCTGTTCCTTGATTCCAGGGTCCCTACCTCCCCTGGTTACAGTTCTCATCGTCTGCATTCACTCCCGATACCGTCTAATTCTTCCGTGTTCCCGTTTCGTGGAAACTCGACGCCATGTCACGGACCTCGGATGTGGCGGCACCGAAGTAAGGGGCAGGGGAAGGAACATCCAAATCCAAGATGGCGGACGACCGAGTTGCGCTCTACACGGCGCACCGGACATGGTCCAAGTTCCGACTGTAAGTCCTAACTACCGAATCATGGGGAGAGATTACCGGGAACTCGTGTTTCGGGAGATGGATAACCATTGGCGGTGGAACCTCCACGATCCAAACCTCCGATTGCTCGAATATCCTCTAGTTGGAGCGTTCCAGAAGATGGAGCATCCAGATGATTCGGAGGACTGGATGGTGGAGGTTTCATGGCGTTTATATTCTTATTCCCATTTCCTGCTCAGGGGTTCCGGTGGCCGCCTGCTGTAGGGGGGTAGGACTTGGCCCTGGACACAACTAGAACGGAAATCTAGGTTAGGTCATCGTGTTTTCCTTTGTTCTGCTTTTTTTCCTAACTGCGCACAAGTCCGGCGACGCGTCGCTCGGCGCTCACGGACTAGGCTTGGGCCGGACAGAGAAGGCGAGAGGGTCAATTTCCCGGACGTTTCCGTCTTTTAGAAAATCCCAGGCGATCGGTGCACCCGGACTCCTCGGCTCGAGAGGTGGCGGGCTCGCGTGGGAGGTCCCGGTTGCCGATGTCGGTGGTGGCGACGATGCGGATGACGGTGGTACCTCGTTGGCTGATAAGTCGGTGATAACGACGCGCGATGACACGGCTCCCGTGGATGATGATTACGGACGGGAGACAGGTTTTCTCGACCCAGCGACCCCTGGGTCTACTCGCCCTCGGCCTCCTCTCTGAACAAGTACGTCGACCAGTACGCCAGGTTGAACAGGGCGAACACCAGCGGGAAGGTTATCCGGGAGATGACGTCGATGCGCTTGGACCTCGTCGGGAACTTCGACAGCCATGATCTGCAACAGTTCTTCTTGGCCGGCTGCATGTGCAGCTCGCACTGCCGCATCTTGTCCATCGTCAGCGCGTCGTCCGGGTGGCGGACCAGAGGTTTCTGAAACAGCCATTTGTACTATTAGGCAACATAGCGAATTTCTCCAGCTCAAGACGACGGAAAACTTGCCGGGGGATCTACAGAGATCGGCCTTCGGCCAAACTTCTCGCCCAGTGTTCTTATCGGCGTTTCAAACGCGCCCTCTTTCAAAGTACACAGGACAAAATGATCCGTAAGCCGCTTTCTTTGTTTACAAATATATCTTTGATATCGTTGTCTCTTTCATTTTTATAAAAGGTTTCGAAAGTACGTGCCATGGATATTAATTATACCCATCAAGCCGGAAATGGAACTGTTAGGATAGATTTTTGAAAAGTGAATAATTATCAGAAATTTCAGCCTTACGGGCCAACTTGCGCCATTGCTGGTGCACCCAGCGATGGCACAAGGAGGCAAGTTCCTTGGACCGTGGAAGAGGAAACTGGACGTTAAACTTCGCCGATCCGCAGGTTCCTCTAGATCCCCCAGCCGTGCTGCCCCCTCAGAAAATCCAACTCGTTTTCGGGAAAAGACCGGGTGCAATAGTTGGAGACCTCACCGCGGAGGGCGGCCATCTTGGAAAACCTTGACGCTGGAGAACGCCTCAATTTTTGACAAACGATGAGATTTCCAGCGATTGTCTGTTGCCACCTTTCCCGGAAAACTTGGATTTTCGTACTTCGGCAACGGTCGTTGCCTCTTTTAGAGGGCAGCCGTGGTTTCTCATCGTCTTTGTAAGAATGCGAATCTCGATCGAGCAGCCACCCCTTGTATGTTATGAAAGGCCTTTTGGTTTTCGAATCTCCCCGGTGGGGGTCGGTGCGAGAACCAGGATACGCGATCTTCTAGTCGGTACTTCAGGGTTCTAGGAAAAGTTCTCTAGCTAAACTAACGTCAGAGGAAAATTCAGGCAGAATCTACCGCAAGACATTTTCGAACGACTTCCGATGCAGCTGTGAAGTGACGTTACTCGAGTTATTCAAGCTTCTACGGATTATGCTCGGCCAATCTGCCTTCGATATCATGCAAGGGATCGAGAACTGGGTTCTAGTCGTTATTTTCGAGTTCTCACCATGGCGAAGTTCGTGGATCCGTCCGGTTCCAGCAACTCGGAGGTGGGGTCGACGGCGGCTGTGTGCTCGATCTCGCGGTACTTCTTCTTCATGTTCTCCCGGTGCATGTCACTTCTCGAGGCGTAATTAACTAATGCAAATTCCAGGAGTGCTCCGAAAACGAAGGTCAGGCAGACGCCCGTCCATACGTCGATGGCTTTCGTGTAGGAGACCGGAGGCAGCGAGGCGTTTATTCCGGAAGTCTGCGTGGCCATTGTAAGAAGAGTCGTCACGCCTGGAAGAAGATTCGAAAAAAAGAAAGTTAAAACGCGACGCGAATTGGTTCTCGGGAATTCAAAAAACAGGCGGTGAATTTTACCCAATCATGCAAAAGAAATGGAAAAAAATGACGACAAATGCCTTTATGGGAGATCTTTTTAATCCCAGTCCTTTAATTTCCTATGGGTGCGAAGATTATGTACAGGGAGGTTCATACCCAGGGATACGCGAGCTGGGACGGCACTCTGGTCGAGCCAAAATGACACCCACGAGACAATGACGAGCATGCAGCATGGAATGTAGATCTGGATAAGGTAGTAGCTGAACTCTCTCTTGAAGAAGAGGTCCACCTTCAGGCAGCTGTATTCACCTGTCGAGGAAATTTAATTATGTCAGCTTTGTATTGAAAGCACCTCCCCTGGGCGACAAATCGTTTCTTCACCTGTATTCGTTTTGCTGTTGCAGTAGTCCGTGAAAAACTTTTCCAACGTGAACCTGGGTAGGTGTAAGTTCTTCACAACCTGGACAGGGTCTCCCTCCTTCCACAGAAACACCAAATCATCGGTCGTCCATCCATCTGCAAACGACACCACGGTATCATTCGTCATTTCGCGTCGCCCATTATAATCGAAAGCGTTTTCCCCGCACCATTTTCTTTCATGTACTTTTTACTTACAGCTGGCCATACGTAAGGAACAGATTTGTCGGTCGAGAGGATACAGTTTCAGATTCATCGGGCATGACAATGTCAGCGATATCCTGCAACAATGAGTTACGTGAAGAAATCCCGCGAACATCCATTTTTTAGTTAAAAAGGTATAGGACGTAGTGATGTAATTAATCCGATTCAGGATTGAGGGTACTCTAGGTACTCACCGGATGCTGTACAATACCGAACCGTTTGGGAAAATTCGGATGTACATGTTAGGCATGATGATGTTGTGAAAGTGGCCTTCCTTCTCGTTGGAGAAGAACAGATCGGGCATCCAAACCCGATTGGATTCCGTAAGGGTTAAATACTTCAGTCGACCTGTAATCCACATAAAATCCGATAGTACGTCGGGTTACATCGCGGGTTACGATCCGATATCGACGCCGGGCATCGGAAAGCCTTTGTCTAAAGGATTATCCAGCAACGCTTTGATCGATAATAGAGGGTCGAACCTTTAGAATCATCGAATCTGAGCCTCTCGTCCAACCATTGTTCCCGGAAAGTGAGCTGCACCGAATATTCCTGCAAGCAAACGATCGGTAATTAGCGCCGATATTCCTGACCTGGTGGCTTCGCGTTCAGTGCAAGAGGCACTATCATCCTATCATCCGGAAATAAAGACATTCCAAGTGGCTCCACCAGCGAGAGGTTTTGCCGTACGGTAACTCGCTACTCGGTTACTCTTGCGTGTCAGAAAATAATAACAACTGCGGAAAAGAATCTGAACTAAAGCGAGCGTCGAAAGGCGTGTACCCAAGCGTGCATTCGCAGCTACTTTGTGAAGCGTCGCCGCGCTCGACGCGATTTTCGATTATCGGGAGATTGATTAAAGATCGACCCAAACTATTTGAAAACGACAAACCGCGAATCTATCGACGCGTTTCCCCTTCGATCTGGACTTCTTCGATATTTTCCGTTTCTATAGCTGGGCGTATACCAAGATCGCACAGAAGCACACAGAACTTGCAACGTTCCTTCCGGTGAGGGTTCAAACCTGCAGCACCCTCTTTTTTTTTTCTCGTCCCTTTGCTTTTATAAGATATATACCCGCGTATATACGTATTTTTCTATCAATACTGTTGTACTTGTACGTTTTGTTTCACGCGAAACAGGGCCATCGCATGCACGTCGAGACATAGGCAGATAACAGTGGCACAAAATACAGGGCCGACAAGGGTGGCTAAGGGTGCATATAATGTATAATACTCCCTCGGTCGTTATCGGTATATCCATGGCACAGGTTGTACTGCGGGACGGACAAAACTACAATATTGTTTAACATCGATCAACAGTCAACGAGTCCCTCTCGAGGTCGGCAAGGCTTTTTCGACACGGCCATTCCCCGGTACGATCTTCACATTTACGAGGCCTAACTATCTTTACGGCGATCTTTGTGTTCGAGTAAACAGGGTGTTGGGTGGCTCGGTACTCCCATGTTGCTAGTGGGGCACGAGACAATGGAACCGTGGCCAAGAAAGAGGGACGAACGATGAGTTCCGAGTCCTTTCTGACGTCGCTCGGGGCCTTCGGGGCGCATCAACGATGGTGCATGCGCAGAGAGGAACCGGCACACTTGGCTGTGTCCTAATGTCGGAAATAACAATATAGAAAGTGCATACGAACGAGGGTTGCATCGAGGCCAGTAAATTGCGGATGCATGGTTTGTGCAAAGGACACGTGTTTTCCTGGTTCATTTTTATTCCGATTTTAATTCCGCCATCGGCAAGAAAGGGGATGCATATCATGGGATGGTGCAAAAAGATGAACATCCATCACGGTCAAGCCCAAAATTACTGAAAACGTAAAAAAAATGTTCTTACGGATCGATCGGTAGCTCCTGGTATTGAGAATTACCGAGCGAATTAATTGAACCATTTATTTATCACGTGATTTAATTATTGGAAGCATCGATGAGAGAAGCATCGCATCGGTGCAACACAGGTGCATGGTTTGTGCAGAGGACGCGCGTACCTATGTTTGTCATTTTTATTATCCCGATTTTAATGTCATCGTTAATAGGACAGGGGATAATACGTGCTATGGGACGGTGTAAGAAGGAGAGGGACGTCCACCATGTCTCGCTTGAAGTTACCGAAAATTTAGGGAGAATTTTTGTAGACCGGTGGCAGCTCCTGATGTCCTGGGGAGCGATTTAATCAAACCGAGAAATTTATTCCGTGCTTTACTTGTATGGAATGTCGGGGGAGAAGTGCATCACGCCGGTGCAACGCAGGTGGATGGCTTGTGCAGAGGATGCGCACGTCTAGATCCACGGCATATTTCTAGGACGAAACTCCCTACTTAACCGAGTCCCGGGAGAGACGGTGCTAATGGAGGCATGCGTTCTTGCTCGGACTTGGTTTCACAAGAATTGGCGACCCCGTCTTACTTTGCGTCTCGAGGATGCACTTGCAAGTGGAACAAGCCAGGTTCTTCTACCATCTCCTGCGTCAAGTTCCACTCCGGCGATTTTTCACTGGAGAGAACGTAACAGCGGATGGCCAGGAACGGTTAGCCATCGCTCGATGGGTCAATGTTGGACTCGGGTTAACGAGAAATGAGACATTATCGATTGTCACGTCGAGATACGACGGAGTCTCGTGGAATTGAGTGGGATCGCCCATGGTCTATCTAGGAGAACTGTTCCTACAGGCCATGCCCATGCTCCTTACTTACCCCGCACCATGTATGGCCGTACATGCATCCGGCTCCTTCCGTATTTCGGTACACGGTAAAACGGCCCAGAAAACGGGGCAAGAGGTGCATCTCGAGCTCCTCCAAGTCCCAGTTCCGTTTCGATTTCCGGAATGGAGTCCGGTTTAAAACGGCTTTCCGTGGGCGGACAGTTCTCCGATTGGACGGAACCGATCCGGTGGAAGTAACGAACGGTCATGGCGGAAATTGATATTTCGACCGAAGGCCTATCTCGATGATACGACTATCAGTTTGGCCTTAATCATCGGTCGCTGGTTGACGGCTCGTCGCTGCAGACTTCTAGATATTTCACCTCCTCTCCCTTTTATGAATTTCTGCTCAATTAATGGTCACTCGGTCGACCCAAAGGCTCCTCCCCTTGTCTCGGTGGGACCATGGTATCCTCTTCTCGTAGCATGCGAGATGCACTTTTCTTACTGGGTTTCCATCCAAAACGCCTTCGAAGTCATGGCGCAGCTGATTGGAAACGACCGTCAGACACGACCAGTCAACGTGTCTCATGGGTAGATTTCGATTGCACCCCCTTGTGCCCCTTTGTACGCGTTTTATGTTCACAAGCAGTAGAGGGACGCACTCGTCATCGATAAAGGCTTTGACTAAAAAAGCGCCTCCAGAACCAGAGATCTTTGAGAGAGGATTTGTCGCGATCAGACTCCTGCCGTCTCAAGAACCGAAGAGGATCTTCGACCATATCTTTGTCCGTTTGAGATGGAAATGTCTTTCGTGAAAGAGGATGATCATGGGGGTGCGAGATATGATTCTAGCTGCACTCACTCGACGAGCTGACTAAAATTTACGTGTCTGAAACACCTCGCTCAGACATTTTAAACTTACCTTTCGACAACGCGTGTCGCGCAAACGATAACGACCTGACCGTATTCGTTGGTCACGCCTAAACGAATTGGAACCAAAAAGAGGGGACTAGGGTAGACTCGCGACCAGTCGTCAACGGCAGCCCTATCACGCTCTTTGGCCATCTTGTATCAAAATGGTCAATCCATCCGAGCGGGCAGCCATCGAGACTCTGTTTCTAATTTTTGAAATCATCCCATAAAAATGGAGTAATATAAATTCAGGCTCCTCTGCCATTTTCCTCACTCGTCGCCCTGATCATCGCAAGGTTTCCCATCCAGGAACTCAGGATTGGCCCCTAACGTTACAGTCAAGAGGATCTTATCGGTGCACAACCCTCTCGCAACCCGTTGCACTTTCGCACGCAACCCCTTTTTTCGACACAACTGGTGGGTCCAAACCATCCCCATGGAACCAGAAATGATTCCAATCGTTCCCCATAAGCGACTTTTCTCGACGTCCTGGCCATTGCCTCGAATCGTCATCTAATTCGTTCACTGTGAACGTCGCAAACGATGTCTAGACCCCTTTGTGTTCAAAGCGAAGGTTCCATCGTGGAACTTTCTTCCCCCGAATTTTCGCAGAGCTCGGAGTAGTTTCCCGATATTTCCTCCACGCAGCGAGCCTAAGGTGCGTAGAAGTCGTAGTCTGCTACATGATCAGGAGGTTCGTATGAATGCGTGCTAGCTGGGTAAACGGCAGTCAGAAGCGAGCGTACAGACTGACAGATCAAGTGGCGCAGGGTACAACTAGGGATGACGACTAATCGGTGGAGATGGCAGTTCGGGACAGCTGGAAAAGCCTCGAGGGGACAAAGTAGATGACAGATGGCGACGGGGAGAGACGAGACAGTGGGACATGGTCTGCAAGAGTGGATGCAGTTGGCCAGTTTCGATGGAGGTCGGTCGAGAGCTGGACCATCGTATATGGATCATGCACTTTACGGGGTGTGTACACCCATGGATCGCCACACAGTAGCCAAGCGATGGTGGTGAACACGTGACTCCTCCGCAGAGGGTGCGATGTCTCGCCATGGTCAACGTCAGGTCTTGTAAAGGGAGAGAAAAAGTGAAAAAAATTTCATCGAACCGAAGAACTCTGTTAATTAAAAGAACAATTATTTAACTCAAATAAACCCGAATAAATTGGCTGCTACGGAAATTGTGACCATTTATTGGAGTTCGAGTCAAACAATTATTCTTTGAATTTTTTTAATATTTCCTTGGTACCACTCATTCAAATGTTTCTTTTGTTCCATGGATTTTTTTTTCTCGGTCCAGTTGGATAGTCCCCATGGATCTGGGAACGGTACGTTTGAAACTCCTTCGAAATTAATTGAATAAAATGGTTTGAATTTTATGGAGAACACCCTGAAGCATAAATCATGTTCCAACAATTTGGAATCCTAGCAAAGAAAGATGGCCGCCACTTTATCCTTCCCTTTACGTCTTCGATACCCTCCAACCCTTTCTTGTTAGACCTATTATGGTTCCACATCGGTTCGCACTTCCAACTGCGGGTGAGTCACTTCACTTGCATCCGCAGGCGACACTTGCTCCACGGACTTAACGACATTGCCGATTTCGCTCATCACCACCTGTCACGTGGCAAGTCGCGCCGCCCACCTTGACCGCTTTTGGCCTTGAGCGTCGATCGCTCAAACGCAATTTCCTCGACCGACGACTGATCCTTCCGGTCCAGATACTTGGCCGACGAAGTTTCAGGCGATTCCCTGCACCGACTTGGAAGATGAGCGCGAAACTGCAATGTCGGTAAACTCTCGCGGAAAGGGGTCGATTCAGCGGTCGTTAGTTATCGGCAGCCATGACGAAGGACGGCGAAGGATCAGAATCGCGAAGGACGAATCTGGGAGATCTTCAGAGAGGGAATCTGGAGATGAATGCAAACCGAAAGATGCAGTCGACGACGCAGGGGTTGGAGGGATCGGGAAGAAA